ACCCAGTCATCCAAGCCAGGCAGGACTCAGGCCCAGACACTGTGTTCTGCACTGATTTTCTCACTCCAGTTTGACAGCTCCCTCCCTAATTACCCTTACCCTTGGTTGGCAGTAAGCATCATGGACGCTCCTCTCCTTTGCCAATCGAAATATTTACCCTTTAAGTTACGTTAGCTGCTGTTCTCATCTGGAAGAAAATACAGGCCAAGACATTCCTCTGTGTTTGTGTGTAACTGGTGCCTGGTTTGAGATTTCATCTGTTTTGTTGTTGTTGTTTGTTTGCTTTATTTTATTTTATTTATTTTGGTTTTTATTTTATTTGGTTTTTCTGTGTAGCCCCCGGGTGTCCTGGAATTCACTCTATAGACCAAGCTGGCCTTGAACACACGGAGATCGGCCTGCCTTTGCCTCCAAGTGCTGGAATTAAAGGTGTGCACTACTACTATCAGGCCAGAGACTTCACCTGTTTAATTGGCTTTTTAATTTAATTTTGGTTGGATATGTGCTATTTCAGACGAAGATGCCTCCTTTGGAATCTCACGTTCTTTATTGTTCTGTTTCGGGACAGGAGAAAGATGAAAGGAATGGAAGAATAAGCACCCCAACAATAGTCTCGCCACCCCTGCTTCCTTCCTTCCTTGTCTCCCTCGGCTCCCTTGTTCCCCTGCAGCCTTCCTTTCTTCTGCCCTCTCTTCCCTTCCCTTCCTTCCTTTCCTTCCTTGTCTCCCACTACTTCCTTCTTCTCCGCTAGAACTTCCTGAGCGCCTGTGTGTTGGTCAGTTTTCAGTCACTGTGATGTCTGAGACTATCAGCTTACCAGCGGTCAGACCGTGTTCACTGGGTTCCATTATTTCTGGGCCTGTGTTGAGGCTAAACTCAAAATGGGGTGCACCTGGGGAACAGAGATAGTCACCTCATTCATGGCAGCCAGGAGGGAGGGATGGAGGGAGGGAGAGAGAGAGGGGAAAGAACAGAAGAAAGGAGGAGGAGGTCAAAGGGGAAAGAAGCCTTACCACTGGAAGCAAGATGCATTCCTCCAGGACACACCCCAGTGACCTACTTCTGCCCACTAGGCCTCATGTCCTGGCTTTCCACCACCTCCTACTGCGTCATCAGCTGGCATCCATACCTTGAGCACATGGCCTTTGGGCGGGGGGTGGGGGTGGGGGTCATTTCTGATCCAAACCATAGCGACCTGGTATGTGTTGAAATTTTCTATATTATCTTATTTAAGTCTTATAATGATGAGGTGAGAATTGGTGGACTTTGGCATCCTTTTTTTTTTTTAATTTATTTAACATTGATTAAGTGTGTGTATGCGCACAACCCCACAACATGTGGCGTGGACAACTTGCTGGAGTCAGTTCTCTGGTTCGACCACATGAGTTCTGGGGTTATCCCCTCCTACCATGTGGGCTTGATATAAAGTGATTTTACCCACTGAGCCACCTCACAGGTCCCATAGTGATCCTTTTTAAAGATAGGCCGTTTGCTCCGGAAACAAGAGGGGCCCTGCTTCAACAAGGTGAAAGGAGAGAACTGACTTCTGAAAGTTGTTTTCTGACCTCAGCACACACACTGTGGCACTTCCCCTCCCCCTCCCCGCACCTCACACACATGGCAACAAACAAAATAAAAATAGTTTTTTAAAAACACAGAAAGAGGCCGGGCGGTGGTGGCGCACGCCTTTAATCCCAGCACTCGGGAGGCAGAGGCAGGCGAATCTCTGTGAGTTCGAGGCCAGCCTGGTCTCCAAAGCGAGTTGCAGGAAAGGCGCAAAGCTACACAGAGAAACCCTGTCTCAAAAAACCAAAAAAAAAAAAAAAAAAAAAAAAAAACACAGAAAGAGTCAGGTGGGGGTGGTGCATGCCTTTAATCCTAGCACTTGGGAGGCAGAGGCAGGTGGATCTCTGAGTTCGAGGCCAGCCTGGTCTACGGATCAAGTTCCAGGACAGCCAGGACTGCACAAAGAAACCCTGTCTCAAAAAACCAAAACCAAAACCAAAACAAAACAAAAACAAAAACAAAAACAAAAACAAAAACAAAAAATACCCCCAAAAACAAAAACAAAAAACACAGAAAGAAATCTGTTGGGTCCTATACGGTGATCAAGCCTGTAATCCTAACATTTACTTGAGGCAGGAGGATTATGAATTCAAGTCCAGCCTAAACTGCATAAAAAGCATAATAAGACCCCATTAAAAAAAAAAGAAAAAAGAAAAAAGAAAAAAGAAAAGAAAGCCAGGTGATGGTGGCACTCCGGAGGCAGAGGTAGGTGGATCTCTGAGTTTGAGACCGGCATGGTCCACAGAGCGAGTTCCACGACAGCCGGGGATATACAGAGAAACTCTGCAGAAAAAAAAAAAAAAAAAAAAAAGAGAAGGAGGAGGAGGAAGAGGAGGAGGAGGAAGAGGAGGAGGAGGAGGAGGAGGAGGAGGAGGAGGAGGAGGAGGAAGAGGAGGAGGAGAAATGAAACTGAGCTATGTTTGGAGAAATTAGGTTATTTCACCCCTGATTTTTGTTGTTGTTGAGACCTGCACCTAGACCTTGAACTCCACCACCGAACCATACCTACAGTCCCAAGTTGGGTATTTCATTGGATGGGTTTTGTCTGTCTATCATTGTAGTATGTAGTTCCAAGATGTCAGTGATTTGAGCATGTTTGTACTCATAGGAAAAGATGAAAACAGTACATTAATTTCCCCCAGAAGTCCTAACTTAAATGTTCCTTGTACCAAAGGCAGGTACACATGATTTCCTCCTAACCAATCACCAAAATACAGACCAGATTTCCTTTGTGCCAAACATGTATGTTGACAAAAAAAAACAAGACAGTCCTTTCCATGACAACAGAAGATTAGATTGACTAAAATACGACAATGGTAGCCGGGCGGTGGTGGCGCACGCCTTTAATCCCAGCACTCGGGAGGCAGAGCCAGGCGGATCTCTGTGAGTTCGAGGCCAGCCTGGTCTCCAAAGCGAGTTCCAGGAAAGGCGCAAAGCTACACAGAGAAACCCTGTCTCGAAAAACCAAAAAAAAAAAAAAAAAAAAAAAAAATACGACAATGGTACGGGAAGTACACATTATCCTGACACAGTCTGTGGCATTTGGTCACAGAGTTTTTTACTAGACGTGAGATTCCTCTAAACTTAGCTCTTGAGCCTTAGGAAGGCCCTTGGCAAGAAGGTCACGGAGATAGGTTCTGGAGCCATACAGGGATAATTATATCTCCATTGTACTCTCTTACTAGCTCTAGGACTCTGATTTAGTCTCTAAACTTCTCTACAAAATGACCTGGAACTTGCTATATAAGTCAGGCTAGCCTTGAACTGGTTATCCTCTTGTCTCAGGCACCCAAGAACTGGGATTATAGGTATGTATCACTACAACTGCTTTCTACTTCTTACAATTTTTGTAGTCAAGGAAATAATATATATGAAATTCACAATCCATTATCTGGACTAAAACAAGGTTATAACAAATATTTTCATTATATTATAACTACCTCTACTGTGTCCTCCAACCCAGGGTAGATGGGTGATTTCTACTTGGCAGGCCAACTCTAAGATGGTTCTTTCTGATCCCCATATCCTGGTGCTCATGCCCTTGGCAGGAGTTGTGACTTGCTTCTAACCAGCAGACACAGTAAAAGAGAAATCACCTTTGTGATATGGTGAGATTATTTCTGTCTCCCTAGACGCCTTCTCAGTTTTCATTCTTTGAAGCAAGCTACTCTTTTTTTTTTAAAGACTTTTTTTAATGTACATTGGGTTTTTGCCTGCATGTATGATTGTGTGAGGATGCTAGATCCCTTCGAACTGGTGTTACAGATAGTTGTGAGCTGCCCTGTGGGTGCCGGGAATTGAACCTGGGTTCTTTGGAAGAGTAGCCAGTACTTCTGATCGCTGAGTCATCTCTTCATCCCTGTCTAGATTCTTAACCCACAGAAAATGTGGGCTGTGTTATTATATGCTGCAAAGTCTATGAGAATTTGTTACATAGTAAAATATAACCAATTAGCAAACCCTTCTCATCCCATTTCTGGTTTAAAGCCCATCTCCCCACTTCTTCAGCGACTTAACATCTATCACGTTACTTCATAGTTATTAGTTTTCTTGTTTCTCCTACAGTGTGAGCTCTTCCAGGGTATAGCCTTGGCTGGCCTGGAATTCTCAGACATACTAATACTACTAGCACTGGAAATCTCCCAAGTGCTAGTATTACAGGCAGAACCACCAACAGCAGCAGATGAGTATTATCAACTAGTTTTCTGTGATGATTCTTATCCAGGCTTGTGAGCTTTGCATCATCTGAGACATTTCCATGGAAAAATTGCATCCTGCTCTTAAGATAGCTTTACTCAGCCTTTCCGATTTAAACAACTCGTTGTACTGATGGTAGACACTTGTAATTCCAGCACCTGGGAGGCTGAGGCAGGAAGATAACCACCAGTTCCAAGCTACACTGAGTTCCATAGTAAATTCTGTGTCAACCTGCCTACAGTGCACCCGTCTAAATAATTTTGTATTGCGTACATATAGAAAAGTGGAAAAATCTTCAGTTTACAATTTGCTAAGTTTTCCTAAGTAAATTCATGTGTATATAGCCACCACCAAGATGAAGACCTCCATCTTCATTTGTGGGACCTTCTTCTTCAACAACCTGAGATGTAACTATCAAAATCCTCTCCTACTTGCTACTCTACACTAGCTCGTCTACCTTCTTCCGCTCTCTTAAAATCACGTTTGTGATTTTGACTCATTAAAACTTCTCTGGATTAAATTTGTAAAATGGTAACTGAGAAAGTGGAAGCCTGGGATTCTGAGAGCTTCCCAAACTGGAGAGAATACCTTAACCCAAGGGTAGCCACGGAGAGGGAAGGAGCAAGAGTCAACCCTGGGTACCTCCAGGGGGCGGGGTCGTATCGTAGGGGCGTGGCCCGGCATCCTCCGGGAATGTTGGCTCCGGGGGCGGGGCCGGGTAGAGCGGGGCAGGGCTTCCTGTCTGCGCCTGCGGTATTGCCGTTTGACCCCGGAAGTGTTGGTTCCGTGGAAGCTGTCACCGTGTACGGCGGCTGCACGTCGCGGGTGTGGAGCCTGGAGGTGAGTGCGTGCCCATTCCCCACCGGTGGAGCTCGGCAGGACCCAGGGCCGTGCTTCGGGCACCCTCGGCACCCCCAGTCCACCGGCTTCACGGCGGGGCCAGGCTTATATTGCCCCAGGGGCCGTGAGTCGCCACCACAAGGCCAGGAGAATCCACACCTGGAGTTCCAGTTCGGTTTAAGGCTTGGTCCCAGAGTGACCTGGGACGAACCCCAGTCCCCACCTCCTCCTCCTAAGCTTTAGTTTCTTCGGCATTCATTCGTTCAGCATGTGTTTGTTGACCGGCTCCCATGTGCTTGGTACAGAACTAGGCGCCGGGGGTACAAACAGCAGGACAGACAAGGCTCTTGTGCTGTGGAACTTACAGTCTAGAGGAAGGAGACAGTCATCAAGTAAATGCATAAAGCAATTAAAGATATGACAGTGAGTAACAAGGAGAGAGATTGCTTCAGGGAGGACCTGGGAAGGTTTCTAAGTAGAGTGATGTTGAACCAAGACCAGCAAAGTAATGGATGACAGTCAGAGAAACTGAGGCAGTAGTAGCCCTGGAGATGCTCACTGGCCATATAACAGTTGTTAATTGTATCAAGCCCTGTCCCTGGAAAACACTTTAACTTTTGGCCTTTGCTGCCCTGCCCAGAAGAGGAGGTATAGTGGTTCACAGCTGTCCTGGTTTTTTGCAACTCAAAGTCTAGTCTTTGCTTTATTTTCTACCCATGCCTTAAGTGAAAACTTAACTCCTCTGTGATGCTCCCTCACATAGGTCATTTCTCTTGGTTAAATGCTTCGTGAAACTTGCATATTCGGCAAACATGGCACTGATAATTTTTTGTTTGGCAATTGGCTTTGTATCTGTTGTTCTCAGGAAGGCTAAGCTTTGTGAATGGCACCGCCAGGTCAGTTCTTTGCCCATGTTGGTATTTTCTGAACATCATTATCTGCTACATAGTAGGGGCCAAAGTATCTAGAGCCAGGTGTGGTAATCCCAGCACTCAGGAGGCTGAGTCAGGAGGATTGGTTCAAAACCAGCTTAAGCTACGTGAGACCCTATCTGCCCTGTCTGAAAATTTAAAAAATAAGATACAATAAAAAGAGAAGAAAAGAGTGAACCAGATGTAATGTTGCATGTTGTGGTGTATACCAGTACTCAAGAGACTGAAGCAGGAGATTGCTGGAGTTAAGAACCAGCCTATATCACAAGACCTTGTCTCATAAATATCTTAAAAGGTAGATTAAAGTGCCAAGAAAAACACTTAGAAGAGCACTCAGTATCTAACAAGCATGTTGCTATTGTCTTGTCAATATGTCTCATCACCAGGGCTGGGCCAGATATCTGAAGTATGGGGCACCAGGTAACAAATGACTGATTATATCCTCAATTTTTATTTGTGAGGACTACTGGCATGTCTTTTGAAAGGCTTAATTGACCTCCATTCCATGATTCAACCAATACATGTGTCCTTCCTGAGAATAAGGTCAAGTGGTGTTATAAAAAGGGAACACAGAAGAGCTGGTCTGCTAGTTTGGCTTTGTGAACTATGTTTACATATACGTGGGTACAAATGTATATGCATGGAGGTCAAAGAGCAACCTCAGGAGTTGGAATTGTTCCTCAGAAGTCATCCACTTTTTTTTTTTTTGTTTGTTTTTGTTTTTTTGAGACAGGGTCTCTCATTGGCCTGGAGTGTGCCTAGTGGACTATGCTGACTGCCAAGGAAGCTTTTGCCTTCCGCTTTCTCAATGCTGAGATTAGAAGCATGTACCATCACTTCCCACTTTTTTTTAATGTGGTTTTGGGAATTGAACTCAGATTCTCATGCTTATACAGTCTGGACAACAATGACTGAGCTATCTCCACATCCACTTTGTGACCATTTTATCATTTTATTTTGTTTTATTTTATTGTTTTGTTTTATTTTTATTTTTATTTTTTTTATTTTTTTTTGTGGCTGGAGAGACAGCCGTGGGTGCTGGGAACCGAACTCTTATATTTTTGGTTGTGAGCCTAGCCTTTAACGGCTGAGCCATCTCTCCAGCCCTATTGTTTTGTTTTTTGAGACAGGGTTTCTCTGTGTAATTTTGATACCTTTTATCTTTATTTATTTATTTATTTATTTATTTATTTATTTATTTATTTATTTATTTATTTATTTTTCTTTTTTCAGACACAGGGTTTCTCTGTGTAGCTTTGTAGCCTGTCCTGATCTCACTCTGTAGCCCAGGCTGGCCTCAAACTCACAGAGATCCGCCTGCCTCTGCCTCCCTGGGATTAAAGGCATTAACCACCACCACCCAGCTGTTATCATTTTATTTTTGTTTGAGATTGAACCCAGGGATTTGCATGTGATAAGCACATATTCTATCACTGAGCTGTGTGGAGCTGACCAACTCCTGGCTTTGAATCCAGCTTGGCCCCTCAGTGGAAGGAACATGTGTTGGCAGATTTCTGTGGATTTTCTCTTCCCTCCTCTGAAGCCTGGAGAAGTTGTTAAGTCTTAACATACTCTACAAATGAGGAAATGTCCACTGTTCCAACCCCAAAGAGACCTAAGATCACGTGAGAATTGAGAAGACTATTTTTGTTCTGAAGAATAGAGCTCAGAAGCAGAGTTAGCCTATCGTTCATGATTGGTTCTAGCCCCATCACAGCAAAGAAGATCTCTCTTCATACTCATTCATCAAACATTTGGTGAGGCCTGTGCTGGTTATAAGAAAGACAGCAAGAAAAAGAACTGTGGGTAGTGTCTTCCCAGTGCCCACAGGCTGCTTGAGTACAGCTTGAAGTCCTGGGTTCCACCCCAGCACTATAAAAACAAAACACGAAAGACAGTCTGGGTACTTTAGCTAGGACTTCCTTCTTATAGTGAGTGGGGGTTATCTGGAAGGTATTTCCTTCAGAGGTGAGAACTAGTTTAAGCAAAAATTATCATTTTAGGTCAGCAAATGCATACCAGGTCTTGAAAGCCCACATTAGGATTTCACTGTGGCTAGGGGTTGGTGCCGGTGCTGGGATCAGTCCCAGAGTAGGCCCTGCCCCTAGGAGTCTGTGTGTCTGCTCCCTTCTTCCCGTCCATATTCCTTTCAGGAGGGTCACACAGCACAATGCCAGCTCTGCCTTTGGATCAACTCCAGATCACCCACAAAGACCCGAAGACAGGAAAGCCGAGGACTTCACCAGCGCTGGTGAGCCCATGTTTTGATGATGTTTAGCCTGATAGGAATCAGCATTGCAATTTCAGGAGCAAAAAGTAAAGTCCTTCCTTTTCTGTTCCAAGAATGACCCTAGGGCCAGTGGCTACTGTTGAGTAGTTGAGACACTGCTAGGCCCTGGCAAGCCTAGTATAGAATTTGCTTCTGAGCAGCAGTGCAAATTTGAGTAGTCAAGTCCCCTCCCCAAAGCATTTAATTTCCAACCAATCTGAAGGCAGTTCTGACTTAGCCTAAGCTGGACTGGAAATGGTTCCAAGTCCTGTTTTGGTGATTTGTGGGGGACTTAAGGTTTGATGTATATATATGTGTATATGTATGTGTGTATGTGTGTGTGTGTGTGTGTGTGTGTGTGTGTGTGTGTGTGTGTGTGTGCATGTATGTTTAAATCTGAACTGCTGCTCATACCTCTGTTGGATCACTGATTTTCAGAGGTTGGGCCGGACTCTCTTAGTTGGGCCGGTCTCTCTTATCTGGGACAAGAAATGAGACATTCAGAGACTCTGACAGGACCTGTGAGACCGAAAACTAAGGAGGCTGTGAACCTGCCAGTTCCCAGCATCAGAGAGAGATTAGAGCCATGGAGAGGTGCCAGGCTGCTAAAGAAAGAGACAGAAGTGGGGATTTGAGTCCTTGTACCCTCTTGTAGATTTCCCAAGAATATGAGCTTACTTGCACAAGGTGGGAAGAAGTAGTTTCTGGAGGCCTGAGTAAAGTTGTGGGAAATGGGAGCTAAGTGTTTTATTTCCTGCAATTTGGTTGTCTTTTATTCCTATTCAGTCTCTAATAATAGAACTTGACAAGTACAGGGTACCTCATGTGGGCCAAGCCATTCTGAACAAGTCACCCAGATTAACTTTTCTTCTTCCTTTTCCCCCTCATTTTAAACTAGTTCTTTGAGAATTGTGTGCAGATTCCTTGCCCAGCTAACTTTGTGTTCTCTTGTTTTGTGAAGCCTATCAAGTCTAGTTGGTGCTACCCGTATGCTTTTGGATGTGTGGCCTTTCTTGAAAAGTGCTCAACCCACCAGCGCCTGTGCCCTTAGAGAGAACTGATTTTACCTTCCCTCAGCTATCAGTTACCAACAGTTCCATCGCTAGGGATGGGACTTCGTGCCCACCTCCCCAGGTTGTCTTATTTCAGCTGCATCACAGCCCTAGGAGTGGATGCTTTGATTGTCACTATTTGACAGAGTTCAAGGTCACAAAACCAGGAAACTCGGAGAGCCAGGCTAGTCCCAGAATATCCCATAGTCTTAACCTTTCTGCTGTAAAGCTACTTGCTTTCCTGTTAGTATTTGTCAGAAAAGCTAGAACTGTACTGTGAAGTGCAGTGGCCATCTAGTAGGTAGCGTGTAGTAACAGTTGTAATATGTCTAGGGCTTGAAATGTAGACTCTGGAACAGGATTTTTTTTTTTCTTTTTCTTTTTTTCTTTTTAGAGGGAAGGTTTTTCTTTGTAACCCTGGCTGTCCTGGAACTTGCTCTGTAGACCAGGCTGGCCTCAAACTGCCTCTGTCTCCCAAGTGCTGGAACTAAAGGCATGCACCATCACTCCTGACTTGGAGTCAACGGGATTTTAATTAATCAGAGTAAATGAAGTTCCATCTGTGATGTGCTGCAGTTGTTCAGGCAGATGGTGCAGTCCCGCCGTCACAGACTGTTCCGTTGGCAGGACAGTGCTGGTGAGGACTTGAGTGCTTAGGTCTGCTTTTCAACCTCAGTCCTTCCCACGTGCTGAATGAACACCTGGATTGTTAGTTGTGGGGACTGGGAGAGCAGGGGTCTGCTCCCTTTCTTTCCTCTCTGGCTTCTCAGTGACAAGTACACAGTACGCTCTCTGGAAACATTCCTTAAGTCAGAAAGCACAATCAGATCTAGCGCTTGAAGTTAGAGCTACAAAGAGAAAATATGTAGTCCTGTCCTTGTGGGGTCCACAGCATGAGCCCAGTAGCTTTAGCAGTGTGGTGACATGAAGGAGGAAGGCCAGGTCCTGACATTATGACAGCTGATTCAGAGCAGAGGCTTGGAGTGCCGAGACGGAAGTAGGAGGGCTATGCAGCTGGGGATGGCTTCCTGGAGGAGAGAGATCCTGAACTGGGTGTTGAAAGGTGAATTAGCTCTATCTAGACAAAGCAGGAGGAGAAGGCAGGCCCTGGTTGGAGAACTCAGGAATGCTTGAGGGAGCCTGACTCTGAGATCAAGCACAGATCCATCCCTGAGGGGGCACCATAGCAGAGCTAGTGAACACAGGCTTTGTACATATTTAGCAAGTTATTTAAGCTCACGAGGGCTCAGGATCCACAAAAGATAACGATGGGCCAGACGTGGTGGGGTGGCTGCGAGAATTAAATGAAACATCTGTGAGTTAGTACTCTGCCTGGAACAGCAGGCACGCAATAGATTGCAATTATGATGGTAATGACAAGTAGCAGCTGTGAATCGAATAGGGGCTAGGGTGGGGAGCGAGATTAGCTGGAGACAGTTGCCTAGTTGAAGACAGTCTTGTTGGTCATACTGAGGAACATTAAGCTCCTGAAACACTGTTCTGAGATAAGTAAGTATAGGGTTTTGTTTTTGGAGTCTCAGCTTGGGACAAAAAGATCTCTGCCCTAGGAGCAGTCATTACAGTGCCTCTGCACAGTGATAGGTGGAGCTTATTGGTGTTTATTGAGTAGTTACTGTTCAAGGAGCATGCACTTGAAAACCTATGAGAGGTAGTGTTGGACCCTTAGGCCATTCCTTGAAGGACAATAAGAAAACGAGTTCCTCTCAAGATACAGAGAGGCCTGAAGGGCAGGGAGTGTTTTCCTAGTTTTCCAGAGCAGATAGGCCCTAAGCTAGTCTTGTAGAAAGGTGGGATTAGATTTGGTAGGATAGACACACCTGGGGCCTGCTACGCTCCTCTTCTGAAACCATCTATGGTTACTCGTTATGGAGTAGAGTTCCCTTTTACAAAGCTTGCCATTTTAAGCCCTTCAGAGGCAGGATCTGGCCCTTCATTCCTTTGTCCAGCTAATGAATGTGCAGAGTGTCCTCTCAGTGTCAAGCACTGTGGAAGTAGCATTGAAAGACAATAAACTGCATATTTAAAGTCAACAATCTGATTGTTTTTGACACTGGTAATATATCAATGTAACTGTCACCAATGGTCAAGACAGTGGACATTTTTACCTTCTCTGAAAGTCCCCTGTGTCCTTCTATAATCCATTCCTTTTTTTCCCCTTGTACCCAACAACTGATCCAAAAATGACTTTGATGCAGTTTAGCAAGTGCGAGAGTCAGGTAAGCACAATGCAGGTGCTGGGCAGAGCTGTGGGAAACCCCTAGTCCAGGAGGCAGTAATGTCAGAAGGACAAGCACTGAGATCAAGGTAGCACATGTGTGCCGTAGGTCAGTTGGTCTGCATCATAAGCTTTGCTTCAAATCCTGCCTCAGCACCTATTTAACCCCAAGGCCTTTAGGAAAGTTCCTGGACCTTACTGAGTGTTTGTTTTCTTCTCTGACAAACAAAAGGAATACTGTCTCCCTTTTAGCTAATTGTAGATGAAAAAAAGCAATAGGGAGTTGACATACCTGCTCCTCCGCAGCTGGCGCAGGGTGGGTCCTCAATAAGTGGTAGATTTCTTGTCATCGTTCTGCCACCCTCTAAACTCATTCCCCAGTGCCCAGTTCTGTCTGTGCACTTTGTGTGACTGCTTTTATGACTCTGTAAGACCAATTTCTTCCACCAATTGTGGTACACAATTCAATCCCAGAGGCAGGCACATCTGTAAGTCTGAGCCCAGCCTAGTCTAGTTCATAGCACATTCCAGGTCTGCCAGGGCTATATAGTAAGAACATGTGAGAAAGAGAGAGGGAGGGAGGGCAAGGTAACTTTCCTCCACCTAAAAATCCTTTTCCTCCAGGGCCCAGTTTAGGTATGGCCTCACTGGAGAAGCATCCCTTTTCCAGGGGCTGCTAAAATTGTCACTTCATCTGTTTAGGGCTCCCTTGGTGGCTTAGATGTGCATCCTCTCCTGTGGAACGTGAACCTTGTGACTTGGAGAAAACTTGAGACTGAGCTGAGACGTTCAGCACACAGATGCTTTTATTCATGTGCCCCAACACCCAGCACAGTAGGGACCCCATGAAGAGTGTCAGCAGGGCAAGGAGGAAGTAAACTTGGAATGCAGGGAGATGAACTCTTTTCAACAGATTAGTGGCTGGAATGCTGCCACTAAATAAATGGGATTTAAATGGGAGAGGGTCCCACAGACCTACATGCTAAATGACTGCAGTGAATCATTATGGATCCTGCATACTCCTGCAAAGGCCCACAAGGTTCTTAAGGAGCCTAATCATCAGTCTTGATTGTTCTAGAGCCGGCTCTGGAAGTGGGAGGCTGTGCTTGATAACAGCTGAGGCCTGGCCCTCCTCCTATTACAACTGGCCCCTGAGAAAGCCACTCTCCCGTAGACTGGGGTGAAAACTGAGCCACTGAGCCCATCAGCTCTTCATTATGGTGAACAAAGTGGGGTTTGTTCAGGGCTGGAAGAGAGAACTTGGGACTCTAAGCTGAGATCTGCAGCTACTTGATTAGAATCTTCAAAAAAAATGAGTAGAGGGTTTTTGTTTTGTTTTATTTTTTTCTGGTTATATAAAGGAAAGTAGTGATGTATAGAGTGTGATGCTGTTTATATCAGAAAGGAAAAACATACTCAAACAAATCCTTGATGTGCATACACTACATTCTAAAGTAAATACCTAGAGAGGTGACCAGGAGAGCATACGGTCAGTGGTTTCCCCTGGGAGGTCATGGAGACTAGGAATGTGCTTCCCCTCTCCCTCCCTCCCTCTCTCCTCTCCCTCCCTCTCTCCTTTTCTTTTCTCTCTTCCCTCTCCTGCCCCCACCATGCTGAGGGCCTCGTTTATATACTCTGCCACTGAGCTATACCCTCAGCCCACATAGTAAAAAGAGATGCTTGTGCGTTACTTGGATAATTACATATTAACTTAAAAAATACATGTCCACTGTTTTAAAATGGGAAATAGGTCAAACATGGTGGTTATACCTTTATCCCAGCATTTGGGAGGCAGAGGCAGGCAGATCTCTAAGTTTGATGCCAGCTGGCTACAGAGTGAGCCCTTGTCTCAAGAAAAAATACTGAAAATATATTGAAGTCATAATTCCCTAGCCCCAAGATAACCAGTGTAAATTTTAGGGATTCTCTCTCTCTCTCTCTCTTTTTTTTTTTTTTTTGCATTGGTGTTTTGCTTGCATGTATGTCTGTGTGAAGATGCCAGATCCCCTGGAACTGGAGTTACAGACAGTTGTGAGCTGTCATGTGATGCTGGGAATTGAACCTGGATTCTCTGGAAGAGCAGCCAGTGCTCTTAACCGCTAAGCCATCTCTTGTCTCCCCGACTCCCCCATACTTCTTTTTTAAAAATCTGTACCAATATGTGAATACATAGACTTTAAAAAACATTCCAAACCTGGTTTATTAAAGTTTTGTGTCCTTTCTCTTCCCTTAATCTGTCCCCACACCACTAAAAATTCTCCAAAAACATGTTTTTTAACAGCCACCTGTGTTCCCTGCAAACGACCATAACACCTCTGTTACATACACTGGGTTCTTTATACTTACAAGCTCCTTGGAGGGTCTCTGGTTGGAACAGTCAAGTACTGTCATTGCTGTGGGTTGGCAAATGGGCCCTCGCTGACTAACCTCTGCCACGTTAACACGTGGTTTTTGGATCCGTAGCACCCTGAGCAGAAGGCAGACCGGTATTTTGTGTTGTACAAACCGCCCCCTAAAGACAACATTCCCGCCCTAGTGGAGGAGTACCTGGAACGCGCCACCTTCGTAGCCAATGACCTCGACTGGCTCCTGGCCTTGCCTCACGATCAATTCTGGTGCCAGGTAACAGTCTATCAAAGTTAACCCTAAGAGAAAGCACATGACATGCCTTTGGTTGGTTGCTGGTTTTCTCTCCCCTAAGAGTTGCTTTTTTGTCTCCTTTCCTTCGATCCTTAGCAGCAAATAGTGGTTTGGATTGCTGTCTCATATTGCAACCTTCCTAATGTTTACACACTGCCTGCCATCTTGAGAAACTTGTATTTAGCCCTGGGCTCATTCATACCTCCTTGGTCCCTTGGGTTGGAGTGTTTGCTGATGGGCCGTGTACACCTGTGTAGTCTACCTCAGGAATCCATCCTTGATCTCCTCTCTCCTGGCCTAGGTTGTTTTTGATGAGACCCTGCAGAAGTGCCTGGACTCCTACCTGCGCTATGTGCCCCGAAAGTTTGATGAGTGGGTGGCCCCGACCCCTGAGGTGGCCGACATGCAGAAGCGCCTACACCGGAGCATTTTCCTCACCTTCCTCCGAATGTCCACTCACAAGGAGTCCAAAGTGAGCCCCATCCTGTGACAAGTCTCCCCTCGACACCCAGGAGAGTGTCAGCTCTCCTCTTTGTCTCCCTCTTCATTCTCATCTTTGGGAAAAACCTGTGCCACTTACATCCTTTATCCTCTAACCCACCAGTCTGACCACAGCACCCAGTGTTTTCCTCAGCAGGAACCTGGGTCCTCGGCACAGTTGACAGTGCCTATTCATGTGACAGAGGGTAAAGACATTGATTCTGACTTTTCAAAGAACTCATAGTGTCCTTTTTTTTTTTTTTAAAGATTTATTTATCTGGGGAGTGGTACTGCGTGCCTTTAATCCCAGCACAGAAGCAGCGGCACACAGATCTCTGAGTTCGAGGCCAGCCTGGTGTACAGAGCAAGTTCCAGGACAGCCAGGACTGTTATATAGAGAAACCTTGTCTCAGGGGAAAAAAAAAAAAAAAAGATTTATTTATTTATGTATGAGTGCCTTGTCTTCATTCGTACCAGAAGAAGAAATCTGATCCCATTACAGATGGTTGTGAACCACCATGTGGTCACTGGGAATTGAACTCAAGACCTCTGGAAGAGCAGTTGAGTGCTCTTAACCACTGAGCCATCTCTCCAGCCCTCATATGTTTACTTTTAAAAATATTTATTTTATTTTTAATTAATTTATATATGTGTGTATTTCTCCATATACATATATGCACATGTGTGTGGGTGCCAGAAAGGGCATAAGATTTCTTGGAGCTGTAGTTATAGGTAGTTGTGAACCACCCATGTAGGTGCCGGGAACTCTAGGATTCTGTAAGAGCCATAATCATGCTTAACCACTGAATCATCTCTCTAGCCCCTCATGTATGCACTTAAAAAAAATCATGCCGGGCGGTGGTGGCGCACGCCTTTAATCCCAGCACTCGGGAGGCAGAGCCAGGCGGATCTCTGTGAGTTCGAGGCCAGCCTGGGCTACAGAGTGAGATCCAGGAAAGGTGCAGAACTACAGAGAAACCCTGTCTCGAAAAACCAAAAAAAAAAAAAAAAAAAAATCATTACTTGGGCTGGGAGTTTGGCATAGTGGTAGAGCCTGGCATGATGGAAGATTCATCTCCAATACTGAAAAAACATCGTCAAATGCTATCAATTTAATCATCCAATGTTATAGAAATATTAGAAAGATAATGAGTGCCACTCACAAAAATCTCCTGTCTTAAAGTTATTACTGTTTTTTTTTTTAATTGTATTTCTTTACTTATTTGTGTATGTATGTGTAGGTGCCGGGGTCAGGGGACAACTTGCAGGAATTGGTTCTCTGTTTTTACCATGTGGGTCCAGAGGGTAGAATCCAGGTCATCAGACATGGCTACAAGTGCCTTCACCCACTGAGACACCTTGTCAGCACTCAGTATCACTACTGTTTGTACATGTTCCTTCAGGGACTTTTTGTCCATTGAGTGTATGTGCACGTGTGGAGGTCAGGGGACAAACTTGTGGGAGTGACTTCTACTTCTACCCTGTAGGTTCTGGGAATTGAACTCAGGTCATCAGACTTGTTGGCAGGTCCCTTTACATACTGAGCCATCACACCAGCCTTCGAAGTCACTACTGTTAATGTGCATGTTCCTTCGTGGAATCTAAAAATTTTTTAAATATCTGTTTTGTGAGGAATAATGGTGCACACCTTTAATCTCAGTAATTTAGGAAGCAGAGGCAGGCAGATTTCTGTGAGTTTAAGTCCAGCCTGGTCTACTTAGTGAAACTCTGTTTTAAAAAATATATATTTTTTTATTATTGTAACTATTCTTTTTTTTTTTTTTTTTTTTTTTTTTTTGGTTTTTCGAGACAGGGTTTCTCTGTGTAGCTTTGAGCCTTTCCTGGAACTCACTTGGTAGCCCAGGCTGGCCTCGAACTCACAGTGATCCGCCTGACTCTGCCTCCCGAGTGCTGGGATTAAAGGCGTGCGCCACCACCGCCCGGCTATTGTAACTATTCTTATTTTGGTTTTTTGAGATTGGATTTCTCTGCGTAGCCCTGGCTGTCCTGGAACTCACTCTGTAAACCAGGCTGGCCTCAAACTCAGAGATCCTCCTGCCTCCACCTCCCAAGTGATGGGATTAAAGGCCTGCATTATCATGCCAGGCTCTGAATACTGATTTTTACAGGCATTCACCAACAAACCCAATGGATCTTGATTTTTAAATCATATTTTCATTATAATTAAATTTCAAATATATGCATATACTTGAGTGAAAGTTTCGTGTCTACATAATAATGAATCCCATGTCCCCTCACACCACTTGTGTACTTACCAATGTTTTGTTAGTCTTGTTTAATCTCTCTTGAGTTTGCTTATTTTGTTGATATATAACCCCAGACACTGCTGATTTACCCATAAATACTTAAAAACAAACCCCAGCTGACCCATTCATGGTGTTTCTGTTTTTGTTTACATGAAAATGCAGAATCACTGTAATTTTGGGTCTTTTCATAAAGCTCAGACACACACACACACACACACACACACACACACAGACATGACACATGCACACGCGCACACACACAGTATAGGCATGCTACCGTCAGTTAGCCTGTCCCCAGCTGATGAGCCTCAAGGTGGTTTCTTAGGAGTTTGCTATTGCAGTGTCTGCACACTCAGCCTCCATCCTCTCTCTGTAATTTCCCCTTAGGATCACTTCATTTCTCCGTCTGCATTTGGAGAAATCCTCTACAATAACTTCCTCTTTGACATCCCAAAGATCCTGGACCTCTGTGTGCTCTTTGGAAAAGGCAACTCACCACTGCTCCAGAAAATGATAGGTACGTAGGATGTAGGACTCGGAGGTGCACAAAGATGGCCACCATATGCCAAACCAGAGGTCACAAATACTTGTGCTTCCATAGCACAGGAGTATTAGAGGTAGGTGATGCTGGGAAAATATTGCACAGATGTAATATATACGTATGTACATAATACACCCATAGATGCATCAGCTCTGAAATAAATGCCTGGGGAGTTGAAACAAAACCTAAACAGTGTGCCAGGCAGTGCCTCAAGAATCTGCAGGTCTTGCTGGGTGGTTCATAACCACAATCCCAGCACTCAGGAGGCTGTGAGTTTGAGGCCAGCTTGGGCTACATGCCGCACTGGCTATTAAATTGGAACCTTGTCTTAAAACAACAGCCAAAACAAATTGTCTGGCTTTCTTAGTGTTAGGACAGGTGTCAGTCAGTGACAAGAATGAGAAATTTGCTTTGGCAATGAAAGTCAGATTGCAGTGACATTAGCCTTCATTGGAATGTGGCCTGGACTCTGTCATGACATGCATATCCTATTTGTTATCTCCACTGGATGCACATCACTGTCTAAGATCAGTACTGTCATTGTCCCCATTTATAGATGAAAAGACTGAGGTTGAACTGAAAGTCTGTAGTACTCACGTAGCCACACTGGAGTTATGGACAAGTGACCCTGGAACCCTTGCTCTGTTTGCTCCCTGCTTCAGGGTAATGGGGGTGCCTCCAAAATGTGCAGCATTGCTGAGGGCAGATGGGTTCATAGTGTGGAGACTCTGTGATTGTGAAAAGAGCAAGCACTAAGTTGGATTCCTAACACAGAAGTGGGCTGTAGGTTCACTCAGAAATGGAAGTGGCGGGGTTGCTGCAGAGGGTGTCTCAGTTGATCCCTTCTTGAATTGTAGTTCATAGTATTGGGCCTGGAACAGGGCGATGTTCATTGGAGCACTCCTGCCAGCCTTCCTCATCTTCAGACTGTAGGGTGTAGTCTTCTAAATATCTGAATGCAAAACTGGGTAGCACTTGGAGCCTGAAGTAAGAGCCTCATGAGTTCAAGTCCAGCCTAGACTACATAGTGAATCCTGGCTTTAAAAAAAAACAACCCAGACAACTATCCCTTGGGATGGTCCTCTCTCCCTCCCTTCATTCCTCCCCCCTTGTTTTCTTTTACCTAACAGAGTTTATATACATATATATGTAGATAGTTATATATATATATAGCTACAAACTTTATATATAATTTTATAAGTATATAAAGCAAATACAAATAGTTGTATATATATATATGTAAAGTTATGTGTGAAAACCTGAATTTTACATATAACTATAAATATGTAACTGTTTTAGTAGATATTTACAAGAGTCTACTACTTATTTACTTCATGTCATTTCTCTATATATGATTTTTTGTTTTTTGTTTTTTTAGCTTCTGGAGGATCTGGGTCAATACCCAATGGCTCAGAACTTTATTCAAAAGGGCTATTTATTTATTTATTTATTTATTTATTTATTTATTTTAATGCTGAATGCTGTTTATTGAAGGAGGGAGGAGGTCTTTGTTTTGTTTTGTTTTTTGTTTTTTCAAGACAGGGTTTCTCTGTGTAGTTTTGGTGCCTGTCCTGATCTCACTCTGCAGACCAGGCTGACCTCGAACTCACAGGGATCCGCCTGGTTCTGCCTCCCGAGTGCTGAGATTAAAGGCGTGCGCCACCACCGCCTGGTGGGAGGAGGTCTTAAATACAGGCTTACAGCACAATGGGAGAACCCTGGAGGGCAGAAGTTCGCTACCTACCGATATTTTACAATCTTGCATCTAAGCTGTTAATGCCCATTATGCAGGATACACAGACAAGGAACTTCCCTTAAGCATTCAGGAGGGTGGAACCCGGCAGGGAATTATCATAGGGAGGATATCAAGGTCAAGGTCAGCAAGCAAGGCAACAGTTACCCAAAACGGGGGCCAGGACCCTACAGGTCCCCCTTTTGCTAGAAAATGAGCTTCTGACTTAGGTTGTGTGGGACGTCAGCCGGTCCTAGGCCACACAGGCACTCTGTCTTAAGTTGGTGAGCGCCCCCCAGGCATTACCCATCTCTGAATACTCATTATCATACAGCCTCAATCGTGTGTGAGGTGCTGAGTTAACTGCTGCCAAAGATCTCAAAGTGGTGCTGGGTTTGCAATCTGTGTGTTCGACACACAGATTACTTATTTACTTCATGTCATTTCTCTGTATATGGGTTTTTTTTTATAATTTTATTTAACTTTATTTTATGTGCATTGGTGTGAAGGTGTCAGATCTCCTAGAACTGAAGTAACAGACAGTTGTGAGCTGCCATGTGGATGCTGGGATTTGAACCTGGTCCTCTGGAAGAGCAGCCAGTGCTCTTATCCGCTGAGCCATCTCTCCAGCCCCTGTGTATGTTTTTAATATATTAGATCATAATATATGTGAAATTTTACACCTGTCATTTTCATTGAAACACTCTGGTTTTTTTATTCGAGTCTAATTATTGCCTGAGTATGGGTTAATCTTGTTTATTTTCCAAGAGGGACACCCTTCCTAAATTCACTGTAGACTTAGAGGATGGGGTGAGTAAGCAACAGAAAGCAGAGTGAGTTAGGGAAATAGTTTCAGGCCATTTTGGTTAGAGTGGAAGGATCCGAGAGAGCGGCAGCAAGAGCTCGGGAGAGGCACTGGAAGGGCTCCGTTCTGCTTTCTGAGGAGTGATGCTGCCCAGTGGTGGAGATGACAGGTCCTCCCCTGAACACCCCATCTACACTCAGCTCTCTTTTTGGGTCTATCAGCTTCACCAAGTCAGTGAGCCTTTCTGAGTCTCAAGTGTAGAGGAAGGAAAGGCTGATGGTCTGCCTTCTCTGAGTTGGTGTGGGATTGGATCGGAAAAAAGTGAACAGCACACATAAAACTGGGCCTGGCAGGACACATGCACTTGGCAAACGTAAGCTCTTCCTGTGATGAGGCTGTGGAGCCTCCAGGAGCTTGGAGCAGGAGGTTAATCTATTAAGGCAGTATGCATGCGGGAAAAGTGGAAACAGTAAGCAATTGGAAAGCAGGGACATCATCTGGCAGTGAAGATGGTTCCTGGTTGGCTACTGGAACAGAAGGGGACATTTGAGAGGCAGAGTAGAACCCAGAGAAATCTTAACAGTTCTGGAGAAAATGGGGAGAGAGAATGGTATGGAAAAAACAGGCTTTAGGACCCAGTGGTGTGGGTTGTTAGAAGCAAGCACATCTTTGAGTGTTGGTACAAGATTGCTGTGAGGAGGTGCTAGGAGAGGAAGTGGTAAGGACAGACCAAGAAAGCTCTGCCTGCTGCCTAGGCTTTAATCATTTGAGCCACCGATTCCTTTAAGAATCATAGATTTTGAGAGTTGTTTCTTTTTTGTTTGAACTTTTAAATTACATTTCAAATTTTTACTTTGTGTGGGAGTAGGTTCTATCCATCCTGGAGATCAAACTTAAACTAAGGTCACTAAGCATGGTGAAAGGTGCATATACTTGTTGAGCTGTCTTGCTGACTATCTTAGTTAGATTTCTATTGCTGTGATAAACACCATGACCAGAAGTAAGCTGGGGAGATAAGGGTTTATTCAGCTTACAGTTCCATACCACAGTGCATCATTGAAGAAGTCAGGGCAGGAACTCAAGGCAGAAATGGAAGCAGAAGCCATGAAGGAATGCTGCTTACTGCTGTCCATGGCTTGCTCAGCCTGATTTCTTGTACCATTCAGGACCACCTGCCTGGAGGTGGCACCACATGCAACCCTCCTACATCAGTCATCGGCTCAGAAAATGTCCCACAAGCTTGGCTACAGGCCAATCTGGTGGTGGCATTTTCTGAATTGAGGTTCCCCCCAAATTACTCTACCTTGTGTCTGGTTGACATTAAACTAGCCAGCATACCATGCTTTTGTTTGTTTTCATTTTTAACACATTTGTTTATTTATTTAGTTTGGTTTTTAGAAGTAGGGTTTCTCTGTGCATCCCTGGCTATCCTGGAACTGGTTCTGTAGACCAGGCTTGCCCTGAATTCAGAGATTTGCCTGCTTCTGCCTTTGGAGTGGTGGGATTAAAGTTCAGTGACACCACTGCAAGATTTTTTCTTTTCTTTCTTTTTTTTTTTTCCGAGACAGGGCTTTTCTGTGTAGTTTTGGTGCCTGTCCTGGATCTCGCTCTGTAGACCAGGCTGGCCTCGAACTCAAAGAGATCCGCCTGGCTCTGCCCCCCAAGTGCTGGGATTAAAGGTGTGTACCACCACCACCCGGCCCGCAAGATTTTTGGTTTTTCTTACTAATGATATGAAGCCCAGGTTGGAACTGCTAACCTCTGCCTCACAAGTGCTGAGATTACAGATGTGGGCCACCATGCCTAGCTTTTTTCCCCCCTTTTGTTTTTTGGGGTTGTTTCTTACTATGTAGCCCAGATCAGCCTGGAAGTTGCTACATAGCCCAGGCTGGCCTTAAAGACAGGCTCCTCCTGCCTCTGCTTCCCAAATGCTGGGGTGTACATCACTGTGCCTGGCTCCATGTTCTTTTAAACCATGAGATTGAGGATTCTAAACTGACTTATTAAGGAGAGTCTCATTTTTGGCTTCTAGAAGGTGGTTGATTCAAAAAAGGTTCAGACCAGGCATCTGGATCCTCTATGTGTGTGTCTGTCTGTTTGTTTGTGTGTGTGTGTGTGTGTGTGTGTGTGTGTGTGTGTGTGTGTGTGTGTGTCTGTCTGTCTGTCTGTCTGTCTGTCTGTCTCTGTGTGTGTCTGTCTGCCTGTGTCTGTGTCTCTGTGTCTGTATGTGTGCATGTGCGTTCGTGAGTGTGTGTGGTGGCAGATGTAGAGAAGGAGCCTACAGAGGCACCCCCCACCTCAGAGCAGCTCTCTTTTTAATCCTTAAGGAGAAGGCACAAGGGCAGCCTTCACTTTGAATACACGGAGTCTCTTGGGCAAAGCAGTTACTTGTAGGAAGACTGATGAGGACGAAAAGCTGAGATAGGATGAGCTGCCCTGCGGGCACAAACACAGTCCTTACTCTAGCCTTTTTAGTAAACTGGCAAGACTGGCGTTGAGTATCAGCCATCAGCTTTTGAAAGCAGGGCTCATCAGTCCGTCTCTCTTGAGCTCCTTTGCACATTAGGAGAAAATGAAGTCATTGCTCCCTCGTAGGTTGATGATCTGTGTGGCGGTGTCTGCTGCTCACCATGGGCTTGTCTGGGAAGAGGGAACTCAGAGGACGACGCCACTGCTTGTTTCTTGCCTTTTAGTATTTCTTTTTTTATTTTCAAGACAGGGTTTCTCTGTGTAGTTTCGGTGCTTGTCCAAGATCTTGCTCTGTAGACCAGGCTGGCCTGGAACTCACAGAGATCCTCCTGACTCTACCTCCCAAGTGCTGGGATTAAAGGCGTGCGCCACCACCGCCCAGTAAATTGGTTTATCTTAATAATCATTTTTCAATTTTATTTGCTTTTTATATGTATGAGTGCTTTGCCTGCATGTATGTGTGCTCACGTGCATGCAGTGTCTGCAAGGGCCAGAAGAGAGCATTAGATCCCCTAGCACTGGAGTTATAAGTGGTTGTTAGACACCATATGGGTCCTGAGAATCTAACCCAGGTCCTCTGGAAGAGCAACCAGTGCCCTTAACCAATGAACCATCTCTCCAGCCCCAAGATGTATCTATTTTAATTGGGTTTTTTTTTTTTTTTTTTTTTTTGGTTTTTCAAGACAGGCTATTTTAATTTTATATGTATAGGTGTTTTGCCTCCACAGATATTTGTGCACTCTGTGTATGCTAGACACCCATGTAGGCCAGAAGAGGGCATCTGGTCTCCTAGAACAGAGTTACAGATGGTTGTGAGCCATACCATTTGAGTCCTGGAAACTGAACCTGAATCCTCTGCAAGGGCAGCAAGTGCTCTTAACTGTTGAGCCATCTCTCTGGGCCTGCTTTGGTTTTGGTTTGGGGGGACTTTGTGTTTTTTGTGTTTTGGTGGTGGTGGTTTTTTTGGGTTTTTTTTTGTTTTTTAGTCAAAAGCAAAGGAGATCTTTGTTGTCCCCCAAGGATAGATTGTGAAATTTGAGTTATCTTTCTAGACTTAGTGTTACACGCCTTTTTTGTTGTTGTTGTTTCGGGGCGGGGTTTCTCTGTGAGGTTTGGTGCCTGTTCTGGATCTCACTCTGTATAGACCAGGCTGGCCTCAAACTCACAGAAATCTGCCTGGCTCTGCCTCCCGAGTGCTGGGATCAAAGGCATGCACCACCACCACTACCACCACCACCACCTGGCCTGGTACACGCCTTTAATCCTAGCACTTGGTAGGCAGGCGGATCTCTGAGTTTGAGGCCAGCCTGGTCTACAAAGAGAGTTCTAGGACATCCAGGGCTTTTACACAGAGAAACCTTTGTCTTGGAAAAAATTGACAAAATTTGAGTTTTCTTGATGCTAGCAAAAAAAAAAAAAAAAAAAAAAGAAGCAGCTCTATTTTTCTGGCGAGCAATGAGAAAATGTTCTGCGTGGTCAAGGTAAGAGGAGTATGCCAGGGCTCTGGGAGTGCCTGTGTCAGAGTACTACCTGAGGAGGAGACACATGTCTTATGGTGCGGTGAGCTCTGGATGGTCATTTTAGGCAGAAGGAAGAGACAGGACTTGTTATCTGAGGTTAAGGATGGTTCAGGGGAGGGCTCCATTGCAGGGACTGGAAGCAGGGTGACCTAGGATGCCAGCAGGGACTAGATGTCTCAGGGCTTTTTGAATCAGGAGTTTAGACTTGCCCTAGAGGATCAGGACAAGAGGAACAAGGAGGAGCAAAGATTGGTGAGGGGCTGGCTCAGACATTCCTTGCCTATGTGGAGGAGGAGGATGTAGATGGTCCAGGCACACCTTCGTAGATTATAGGGTCAGCACCTGTGGGAGGTAGGAGCCCTGAGCTGAGGAGGCCAGGCTAGGAAAAAACAAACAAAACAGAAAAACAACTCAGCTTTTTGGAATCAAGGAGTAAACGCCATCCCGGACTGTACTGATGAAAAGCCCGCTACTTGCTTGTTCATCAGCCTCACCTGGCATCTGATTGCCTTCCTGTTTAGATGCCCTGGAATCAGACTAGGGCTACAGAATTATCGATAGTGTATGCTCTGGCCATTATACACAGTGCAGGAGAGAGACAGAGAGAGGCAGAAAGAAAAACTTCTTTCTCCCTAGATGGTTTCTTTGTGCTGCTCTTGGCCATGACCCTTTGAATTCACCCTTTGCCCTTCTCAAACAGTAGTAAAATCTAAGCATTGTCTGCACTTAATTAAAAACCAGACCTCAGGCCGGGCGGTGGTGGCGGCGCACGCCTTTAATCCCAGCACTCGGGAGGCAAAGCCAGGCGGATCTCTGTGAGTTCGAGGCCAGCCTGGGCTACCAAGTGAGTCCCAGGAAAGGCGCAAAGCTGCACAGAGAAACCCTGTCTCGAAAACCAAAAAAAAAAAAAAAAAAAAAAAAAACCAGACCTCCACAGAAACAGCGGGGCTCAAAGCTGACTACCATCCTGAGGGGTAAAGCTATAATGAACTGAGGCATCTCAGACTCTTCAGGGCACTGGCCTTCCTCACCGTCATGTCCCCAGCTAGAGTTCTTTCCCGGGTCTTCCTCTTGCTCTAATTAACAAGGCAATTCCACGTAGTTTATCTGGTGATTAAAAGAGGTTTATTTCAGGGGTAACTTAACGACCAGTAAGGGGTCGATTACAGGATCCAGGAGAGATGAGGTACAATCCAGTGTAGTTCTCTGGAGAACTCTGACTTGGTCTGCAAATCCAGCCTCCAGGACCATGAAGAGCTAAGAGAGTGAACACGTACGCATCTTGGGTCTTAAGGGGTCTCCTCTTGGCCACACCCCAGGGGCCGGTCATAGGCAGTGTGGCAGCGTTTCAAGGTTGAAGCTGGAACAGCTGCCCACTACATCCCTCCCTCGACATTTAGATGGAGAAACACTGGGTTCTGTCCCAGCCACCATATGCTCTGAGCACGCACATGTTGCAGCAGGTAGAGCGTAGTAAACATCGGAAATGGCTTCCATCTGAACAGAACAACTACAGATGTGTGCCAAGTCCATCTCCGTGCGTCACTCCTGCCTCCTGTTCACAGGAGGCTGAATTGATATGGTAGCACGTTCAAAAGCAACGACTTCCAGACATTTCTCCCTGGCGGCTCCTCACACTTTCTAAGGTGTGGCTTGGCAAGCATCCTGAGTTATTGTAGGTTTATTGAATAAAGGGATTATAGTTCCCAACTTTCCAGGATAATGCAACTCCCAGTACCACAGTGCTGTCATGGGAGGCATGGTGGCCAAGTTTCTCTCTCTGGGGACATCAGAGACCAGGGCTGCTCTTTGTTTGATATAGTTCAGAGGTACTTAAAAAGTTAAATTGTACTGAATAACTTCCTTTCGCAGCCCTGGGGAGGGTTCTCAGTGAGGACAAAGCTCTGTGCCACCTGGGCCTGAAACAAGACTCATCCTCCATCCTCCCCACAGTGGCTTAGGGAACAGGAGAGGGTCACAGAACATGCTGATGATCAATTAATGTGTCCTCTCTACCCCTCTTGACCTCCCCACTTCTGCCCTTTCTCTTCTCTTTTAGGAAACATATTTATCCAACAGCCAAGTTATTATACTGACCTGGATGAAACCATTCCCACCATACTTCAGGTACCATCTCTTAGCCCTGCCCAGGGGAAATAAGCTGAGTGGGAGGAGACAAGTCTCTGGACTTTTCTTAAAGAATCTGGAGAAATGTTTGCTTTCCACTCCTTTTCCAGACACATTTTGAAGTGGCACAGTGGTAGAGCACTTACCTAGCATGCCAAGCCCCAGATTCCATCCTCAGCAGGAGAGAGAGAGGGAAAGAGGAGGGGGAGAAAGAGCTCATCTCTCAGATTTTCTCTTTGTCCTTCTCTTTTTTTTGGTTTTTCCAGACAGGGTTTCTCTGTGTAGTTTTCATGCCTGTCCTGGGTGTCGCTCTATAGACCAGGCTGGCCTCGAACTCACAGAGATCCGCCAGGCTCTGCCTCTTGAGTGCTGGGATTAAAGGCATGCGCCACCACCGCCCAGCCCTTTCTCCTACTCTTGGCTACAAGCCTTATAATTCAACCTTTGCCCTTCTTGAACAAGATGAAGTCTAAAGATTATCTGGCACTCACACAGAAGGATTTGGTTCGCAGTTTATGTTTTCTGACAGCCCTATACCTCCAAAAGTTACTCCTTTTAGAGACCTGCATTTCTCAAATAGGAACTGTGAAGGGTTATGAAACGATTTCATGAAAGAATAATGTGTATTGTAGAAAATATGAGGAATAAGGGCTGGAGAAGAGCACTGGCTGCTCTTCCGGAAGACCTGGGTTCAATTCCCAGCACCCACATGGCATCTGTAACTATACATACATGCAGGCAAAACACCAATGTACAGAAAATAAAAATAAGTTATTTTTAAAAAAGAAAATATGCCGGGCGGTGGTGGCGCACGCCTTTAATCCCAGCACTCGGGAGGCAGAGCCAGGCGGATCTCTGTGAGTTCGAGGCCAGCCTGGGCTACAGAGTGAGTTCCAGGAAAGGCGCAAAGCTACACAGAGAAACCCTGTCTTGAAAAACCAAAAAAAAAAAAAAAAAAAAAAAAAAGAAAATATGAGGAATGTAAAAAGCTGCAAGGAGCTAGGCATGGTGACTCCTGTCTGTAACCCCAGCTCTTGGGGGGCTAAGGCAGGAAATTGTCTTGAGTTCAAAGCCTGTCTAAGCTATATAGTAAGTAAAACCCTGTCTCAAAAAAAAATACAAAAAGTAAACAATAATGTTATTATTATTATTATTATTATTATTCCCCCATAATCCCACTATAAAGAGATCCCTATACGTACATCTGTTTCAAGTAACTTTTGGAATAGTTATATGGTAGTCTGTTTAATGATAACATGGTAGCACTCAGAAGGCAGAGGCAGGAGGATCCCTGTGAGTTGGAGGCCAGCCTGGTCTACATATTAAGTTCTAGGACAGCCAAGGCTATATAGCAAGACTTTGTCTCAAAAAAAAAAAAAAAAAAAATTTAGCCAGGCGGTGGTGGCACATGCCTTTAATCCCAGCACTCAGAAGGCAGAGGTGGACGGTCCGATCTCTTTGTCTACAAAGCAAGTTCCAGGACAGACTCCAAAGCTACACAGAGAAACCCTGTCTCAAAAAAACAAAAAGAAAAAACAAAAAAATTTTTTCTTTTTAATTATAAAAATAAAGATAACTGGGCGGTGGTGGTGCACACCTTTAATCCCAGCACTCGGGAGGTAGAGGCAGGCGGATCTCTGTGAGTTCGAGGCCAGCCTGGTCTACAGAGCGAGTTCCAGGACAGGCACCAAAACTACACAGAGAAACCCTGTCTCAGAAAAAAATAAATAAATAAAAAATAAAATAAAAATTAATTAATTAAAAAAGTAAAGATAATATGCCCTGGCAAGATGGCTTAGTGGGTAAAGGTGCCTGCCACCAAGCCTGAGAACCTGATTTTGATCTGCAGAACCCACACAGTGGAAGGAAATAATGGGCTTCCACCGTTGTCCCCTGACCTTCACACACATGCACACACACACACAAGAAAGACAGCCCTACCAATTCAGTCTTGCTTGATTTTATGACAGGTTCTGTTTTCAACTCTCTGTTAATTTGTCTTTTGTTTTAATAAAGCTCTGATAATCACTGAATGTGATGGCACACATCTGTAATCCCTGCACTTGGGAAGTAGAGATAGGAGGATTAGGGGTTCGAGGTCATCCTTATCTGCATAATGAGATCAAAGGCATCCTGGCCTACATGAGACCCTATTCAAAACAACAAACAAAACATACATATATGCACATATATAACATCATCCTATAAGTAGTCATCTACAAAGGAGTCTAGACATTTCTTAAATGTTGCTGAAGGTATTTCTCAGGTGTTACATATTGTTGAGTCTATCCAGTCAAGTCATGGGTACAGAATTCTTGGGGCTTTATATTTATATGCATGCTATATGTGTGTTACTAAAGGTCGAACTCAGGGTCCTGTTTGTTTTTTGAAGCAGAGTCTCATTCTGTAGCCTTGGCTGGCCTAGAACTGGCTATGTAGACCAGGCTGGCTTTGAAGAGATCCACCCTTCTCTGCCTTCTGAGAGCTGGGATTAAAGGTGTGGAATACCACACCTGGCCTGGAGCCCAGGGTCTTCCATGTACTTAGCCTGCACACTGTCACCGAGTGACAGTATCAGCCCTGCACGGTTTTCATTTAGTCCTAGTCAGCATCCCATTGGATGGCCTGTCCCTAGGTTCCAAGGCAGTTCGTGGGTCACCTCTCACTGGTTGTATGGTGGAGCTCCTAGGTGCCCATTCAGGATGTGGAAGAGAGCCCTCTTTTTCCCTGTCTTAGGTCTTCAGCAATATCCTCCAGCACTGTGGCTTGCAAGGGGATGGGACCAGCACCACACCCCAGAAACTCGGGGAGAAGGGTCGGTTGACCCCCAGTGACATGCCTCTCTTGGTAAGGTTGCCCCTCAGCCTGGCTTCTTCTGGCTGGGGTCCTTAAGCCTGGCTCTTCTGGGGCTGAGAAGATTGCCAGTGCTGCAGGGCACAGTGGTTTCTTCCCCTGCCTTTGACCTCTTCCTTTGATTTAATCCAGTTTCTACCTGCCCGATGGGTTAGACTTTTCAGCAGGTTTTGTTCCTCCTGGGGAACCTTTGTGGAGTACCAGAAAGGACAAGGCACTAGGGTTTGAGACTGGGTCTACTCCTCAGTTAGTTTTGCTCAGCAGGCCCACTCTTTGAGCCCGTCATTGATTCCATGAGTCTATGCTGAGGGACTGTGTGCCAGGTCCTGTGTGGAGCCTGGGGGATAAAGCAGCAAGCAGAAGCAGACATGGTGCCCATCTCATGGCACTTAGAACTTCAGTGAGGATGCCATACAGAAAGTAAACTTTAAGGAGCCTGGGTGCTGTGCTAAGCACTCCAGACAGCTGGAATGTGGCAGCTGTGAGCTCCCGTCGTGGCATTTGTTTGCCATGTGGTGGGAAAATATCCATTGAGCAAATGTTTCAGAAGAGTCATGCCAGGAGCGGCGGGAGCAAATCATCTTAGCACTCTGAGCCTCAGTTTCCTTATCTGTAACATGAAGAGCCACCCAGTCTGCTCCTTCGAGTTGTCATGAGAATAAGCAGAGCAGATGAGCAAACATCCTGTGTTCTATGTACCATCTTCAAAATGTGAGCAAAGGGTGGGCTTGCTACTCCTTCTCACCAGGCCGGGTGATCTCTCTCAACAGCGTTCACTTTCCTGCAGCACAGGAGAGAGACTTTCTCAGCGTTACAGGGGACCTTAGCTGTCCTTGAGTGTAGGCCACTAATGGTGAACTCTGAGAAGGATGGCTAAGTGGCGCAGGTTGCCCTCCAAGAGAGAGAGAGAGACAGACAGACAGACAGACAGAGACAGAGAGACAGAGACCATTCAGGCTGTCTCTAGGGCCTCTACTTCCCTGTTCCTCTCAAGCAACTTCCTGCCTTCTGGGGACTCTGGCTTTGTCAGTTATGATTCAGGCCTCTGCAGAGCTGTCTTGTGGGGCTTGAAAATAATGCTGTGTCTTCTCTTGACAACAGGAATTAAAGGACATTGTTCTCTACCTATGTGATACCTGCACCACACTCTGGGCCTTTCTGGATATCTTCCCTTTGGCCTGCCAAACCTTCCAGAAACATGACTTTTGTTACAGGTACATTGGGACTTCTGACTGTTAAAGCAGGGGCTCTGGTCCATGCATCACTCAAACGCATATTGGCTTGGTCCTTAGAAGATTGACCAGTCCAGGGGCATGATGACCCAGCAGTTAAGAGCACTAGCCCAAGTTCAATTCCCAGCATCCACATGACAGTTCACAGCTGTCTGTAATTCCAACTCTAGGGGATCTGACATCCTTACACAGACATCCATGCAGGCAAAACACTAATGCATATGAAATTAACAGAAAAAGAATAGACCAGTCCATCTTCCAGCCTGGGGATACACAATGAGGAACACAGGTAAAACTAATGCTGGAGGAGCCCTTCCAGTTCCGGCTGAGAGGAAGACAAGGTGGGGCAAAACCCACAGCAGGAAGATGACTGTTTCAAGTCTGCCTTCTTTCTCGTGCCTTATCCTGGAGCACAGAGTAACAGCTAGTAAGAACTGGCATGAGGAAGCAGCAGAGGTGTTCCTTCTTTGCTGCAGGGGTGTGCAGGAGAAAGACTCCTAAAAACAGCCTTAGGTACTGAGCTAGAAGCCTGGCACACTGGCTGTTCCTTCCATCCCAACTCTCAGGAGGCTAAGGCAAGAGGGTCACTCAAGCTCCAGGATTTGAGGCTAGCCTAGTCAACGTATCTAAGAAGAAAAGGAATCAGAATGTTCTAGACAGAAAGGTTATGGTGACAGGAAGGGTGTTGAAGCAGGTGTGAAATGTACAAAAAGTTCAGACTAACTGCCAGATGTGGTGGCACACGCCGTTAATCCCAGAACTTGGGAGGCAGAGGCAGGTGGATCTCTGTGAGTTCAAGGCCAATCTGGTCTACAGAGCAAGTTCCAGGACCTCCAGGGCTACATAAAGAGACCCTGTTTCAGAAAAAAACAAAAACAAACAAACAAAAAAAACGAACAACAGGGAAAGGAGTTGATAATAAAAACTGAGGAGTCCACTGCTTGGTGCCAGCGTGGTGAAATAGTGGCGGAGAGTGGCCTCGATCTGTGGGAGTGGAAACCACTGGAGAGGCCTTAGGAAGATTGTGCTGAGGTGGAGAAGAGCTCGGAGGAACTTACGGCAAGGAGGGAGACTGCCCGGTTAACATCAGGAGAGCTTTCTGTGCGGTGAGAAGGTGGGGAGCATGGGCTTGGGCATTCCCAGGCTGGTGTGAAAGGACCAGCAGCCTGCTTATTGCCTGGCAACAAAAAGTACTGGCCCATTCCCAGTGGCCTCTAACTGTTGCTCTTGCCGGGCATCTCTCCCAGCCATTTGCAGCAGCTTCTGGGAGCTGCCCAACTCCATTTACCCACCCATCTATCCGTCCATTCTGTCATTTACTCACCCATTCAACAAAACATTTATCTAGCTCTGACATGTGCCAGAGATGGCAGCTGGTCCCTGACTCCTCTTTGGTCTCCCCTGCTTGTGAGAGTCAGATATTAGGGTTGATCAGCTTCCCAGGGATCATTAGAATAAAATGCTGACCAGTATTCTCCAGAGAAGAAAGGGCTTGGGCTAGGACTGTAGCTGTCCACTTTAGGGAGGAAAGGTATTTCAGTGTGATAGAAGAGCATGTGGAAATGTAGAAAAGGTAGAAAGCCAGAAACTGAAATCACTCTTAGGAATACGCTGCTCTCGGCATGTTCTCCTCTGCCTGTTTTCATTCACTTTAAGCAGTTTTGTCCAAGTGTCTCCCCCAGTCAGCACAGATGGCTTCTGAGGGTGGAAGCTTTGGGAGAGCAGGTTTTTCCTGCATGAGAGTGGAAACAGAGTCCCACCCATCTTGGAATATGGGAAGAAAGGGTTGCACTTTGGAAGTGACGCTTGCTGCCTTTGACTCACGTTCAACCTGCAGCTGGCCCAGCCTGGTCCAGCCTGTGCTGCAAGCTAGGAAATCCTTTGCTAGCTACACCCACATATACACACAACCCCAGCTCCCACAGCTCTTCGTTAGGGGTCACACTTACCCAAAGAGCTCTTTGACTTGGCCCTCTCAAAACAGCTTCCTCCGTTCTCCACTCCCATCCACTTACCCAGTTTGCAGCTTCTGCTCTTGGGTCATGAGTCAGTAGTACTTTCACTTTTGACAGAACTCAGAAAGTATAAAATAGGGGCTGGAGAGACGGCTTAGTAAAGAGCAGGTTCTTCCTTCCAAAGGACAGAGTTCATTTCCCAGCACCTGTGTCTGAGGCTCACAACTGCCAGTAACACCAGCTCCAGGTCTTCTGGCCTCTGTGGGCACCCTCACATGTGACACACACAGAGACACAAAAAACAACCTTTAAAAATGTAAACTATATGGGGACCTCTCTCCCTCCCCTCTTTGTAGTTCTTTTTCTCACTTGTCAATGCTGTCGTAGTTCAGAGGGATTTTCCAGAGATATGCAGTATAGGGAAACATACACATTATACATTCCCCTCCCTTTGCTTTTGCAGTGATGAGAATGGAACCCAGGGTTTTATAAATGCTCAGTAGGAACTCTACCACTGAGCTATACTCTCAACCCCACCCCCCTTTGTTAAAATTGAAAAGCTGGGGCTCGGGGAGATGGCTCAGTGTCTTAGAATGACTGGGCAGCACTGTGCATCTGGTGCACTGGACACCAGAGATAGATTTTTTATTTTTATATTTTCCTTATGGCTTTTTCAGTTATTTGCTATTTCAAAATAAATAACATCATACACACATGACTTTGTACCTTTGCAAGCATATTTGAGGATTAATTCCTAGAAGTAGAAATGCAGGGACAGATGGTGTGTGCATCTTTAATTCTCACATATCTTGCCAAATCACCTTCCATGGGGGCTGTTCCAGTTTACCCAACAACAACACAGCCTGGCAAGTGTTGAATCAGCTTGGGCCAAACTGCCCTCTCCGGCCTCTGCTGAGGCTGTGTCTAGTAGGGCCTGTTCTGTTCGGCTTAGCTCTTCTTTGCCACTAGCTTGCTGCTGTGAGATGGACGGTGCAGAAAGCCAGGCAGAGGATGGGCATGCGCTTGCCGAACACCTGCAAGCACTAGTCAGCACTACACTGGGCACTTGAGTGCATCTCTGACCCTGGGAAACAAGATGTTTGGAGGAGGAGTTACATCACAGAAGAGCAGCAGCTGCTCTGTCAGTTGCCAGGGCAGTATGTTCTGGGTGCAGTGAATCTGGCCCCTGGAAGGAAGAGCCCTGTGGTTAAGGATAGCCAGGAAGGACACAGTGAGGAGGTAGGCTGCCCAGTTTGAGAAGGACGAGGGGAGGAGGAGATGCAGGAGGAAAAGGACAGCTGCCTCCTGGGTTGCTCACCCATGCTAATCTCAAACTCCTGGCTCAAGCTGTCTTCCTGCCTCAGCCTCCCAGCTAGCTACAAGTATAGTCATATGTAACTGTGCTGAAACTCCTAATGTGTGTGTGTATAGTTTTTTGAGAAAAATTTTACATTTATTTAATTTATGTGTATGAGTGTTTTGTCTGAATGCATGTGTATGCAACATGAGCATGCCTAATGCCCGTGGAGTTCAGAAGAGGGCATCAGATCCTCTGGACCTAGAGTTACAGATGGTGTGAGTCACCATGTGAGAGCTGGGAACCGAACCCAGGTTCTCTGAAAGAGCAACAAGTGTTCCTAACTACTGAGCCACCTCTCCAACCCTGTGTGTGTGTGTGTGTGTGTATAATTTTTAATTGTTTTGCTATTGAGACAGTGTCTCTCTGTATAGTTCAGTCTGGTTTCCAGCTTGCGATCTTCCTGCCTCAGTTTCCCAAATGCTAGAATTACAAGCATGGACCATCACATCTAACTTATAACTTTTTATTAAGAGTTGTAGAAAACAGGCTGGAGAGTCTCAGCACTCATATCAGGTGGCTCACAACCATCTGTAACTCCAGCTACAAGGGATGGCACCTTCTTTTGACTTCTGTGAGCATCTGTACTCATGTCCACACCAACTGACAGACAGACACACACACATAATTAAAATAAATCTTTTTTAAAAAAGAGTTATAGTTAAGCTAACTGGCTTAGTTCATAAAACAAATATAGAGTGCATGATACATGTAAGTCCTGGGCACATTTAGCCTGTTCTGAATAAATACATTGTGTTGACATTGTCACATGTTAACAATATGTAGAGATTTCAAATCATGTAAAAAAAACAAAACTTCATATCTTAGAACCAAAATGAGAAAGATTATTGGTAACTGCATTTCAGAGCTCCTAGAACTGGCAAATTTTGAGCAAGAAAAAAGATAATCTGTCTGTTTCATAAACCCAGAGAATCCTGTGTAGCCCTCTGATCACTTTGTTAGAATAGACACAGCTGGGGCTGGAGAGATGGCTCGGTGGTTAAGAACATTGACTTTTCTTCCAGAGGACCTGGGTTCAATTCCCAGCACCCACATGGCTGCTTACTGCCTGTAACTCCAGTTGCAGGGGATCCAACACCCTCACACAGACCTACATGCAAGCAAAACACCAATGCACATAAAATTAAAAAAAAAGAATAGACATACTATGGTCACTTTCCATGATGGGGCAGCACAGTATATCATTCCGGGGTAGGCTCAGGAAAGCCCCTGGGTACCCCAGAAACTAGGTTTAGGATGGGATGGGGGCAGGGGGTTGATTCAGTAAAGCCAAGTGAGGCCCTGAGTTTGATCTCTTCAGAACCCATGTGAAAATGTAGAGTGCGGTGTTACTCTGTGTGCAGTACCAGTGCTGAGGAGGCAGAGACAGGAAGATCCTGGTGCTCTGACCAGTTCTGATTGGTGAGCATCAGGACTGCTTTCCTGGACTAACACTGAAGTTAGCCTGTGGCTTCCACACACACACACACACACACACACACACACACACACACACAACACCACCCACATTGTGGATTTATGGGAGAAAGAAATGAACCTTCCTGCTCCTTTGGGTTGGCTTTTGTTTTCCATCAAAATGTGGTATTTGGGAATTAATCTGGCCTTTTACCTGTGTTTGCTTCTGTAGACTAGCTTCCTTTTATGAGACGGCAATTCCTGAAATGGAGACTGCAATTAAGAAGAGGAGGCTCGAAGACAGCAAGTGAGTGGGAAGGGGAGCCTGAGGACAGGCTGTGGCACCCTCACTCTGAGGACAAAGGGCGACCAAGGACTGTGGTAGCTTGGGCTCCTAGTCCTGGACTTGGTGATCTTCTCGCCCTACTTTTTTTTTTTTATAACTCCTGAAGTTTTAGTGTAACTTTTTATTAAAAAAATAAGGATTGAGGATTGAACCCTTGGCCTTGTGCATGCTGAGCACATGTTCTTTTACCACAGACCTTAAAGATTGTTGTTGTTTTCTTTTTCTTTTTTTTTTTTTTTTTTTGGTTTTTCGAGACAGGGTTTCTCTGTGTAGCTTTGCGCCTTTCCTGGAACTCACTTGGTAGCCCAGGCTGGCCTCGAACTCACAGAGATCCGCCTGGCTCTGCCTCCCGAGTGCTGGGATTAAAGGCGTGCGCCACCACCGCCCGGCTTCTTTTTTTTTTTTTTAGTGGGGAGAGTGGGAGGCTCAAGACAAAGATTCTCTTTGTAGCCCTAGCTGTCCTGGACCTCAATTTGTAGCCCAGGCTGGCCTTAAACTCACTGCCGCTGCCTCCTGAGTGCTGGGATTAAAGGCATGGGCCACCACTGCCATCCAGGGAAGATTGTTTTTTTGGGGTTTTTTTTTTTTTTGGTTTTTCGAGACAGGGTTTCTCTGTGTAGCTTTGCGCCTCTCCTGGAACTCACTTGGTAGCCCAGGCTGGCCTCGAACTCACAGAGATCCGCCTGGCTCTGCCTCCCGAGTGCTGGGATTAAAGGCGTGCGCCACCACCGCCCGGCTGTTTTTTTTATATATGCTTTGTGAGGACCTAATGAGAAATACTTTGGCAAGTAGAGATTTATTGTTTACTTGCTTTATTTTTTTTAATTTTTTTTTTTTTTTTTTGGTTTTTCGAGACAGGGTTTCTCTGTGTAGCTTTGTGCCTTTCCTGGATTTTTTAATTTTTATTGAGCTCTTTGAGAACTTCATACAATTTATTTTGACCGTATTTGTCCTTCCTCCAGCTCCTCCCTGATTCTCCCCCGTCCTCTACCTACCCAGCTTTATCTCCTCTTTTTTCTTTCCTTCCTTCTTTCTTTCTTTCTTTTCTTAGCATGACAAGTCAAATCTGTGCTGTCCATGTACTCTTGGACATGTAGCCTTCCACTGTGGTGTGCTCACCCTACCAGGGGCCACACCTTTAAAGAAGACTGACTCTCCCCCAATAGCTATCAGTTGCCAATAGCTCCTCAGCTGGGGTAGGACTTTGTGCCCCCCACCCATACTGAGATTTGGTCTGGTTTGAGTTTGCGCATGTCTTGCTCATTTTTCCACAAGTGCTGTGAATTTATGTGTGCACTGTCCTGCTGTGTCCAGAAAACAGTCTCCTTGTAGCCCCCCACAGCCTCTGGCTCTAATGGTCTTCCACCCCTTCTTCCGTAATGATCCCTGACCTTGGGAGAAGGGGGTTTGATGGAGATGTACCATTTAGGCTTAGCTTTCTGTAGTCTGTCGTTCTCTGCACACTGACCAGTTAGTCTGCATTAGTCTCCATATACTGCACAAATAGAGACTCAGATATTAATTGGACACTGTCTTGCTACAGGCTACCTTGTGAGAATTGTCTTGAGAGTCCTCCTTGTCCACCAAATCCATTAATTCAGTGTCCCCCAAATCCTGGCAGATAATGGCTGGTCCCTGCATGTAAGCTCAGCTGTGGCTTCAAGCTCTTGGTAACTGACCTTGCTATTCCTGACCCTCTGTTTAACTGAGACCCAGTGGTCTGAAGCTGGCTACCCAGTATTTGTAGCTTTTTGTCGGCTGCCCCATTACTGACCTTGAGGATCACCTCAGCTCTAGCTGGGGAAGCGGTTGCAACTGCTAGGAAGAAGTTCCCACAGTTCCTTTCATCTCTTAAGTCTACTGCTCTTCTCTCTGGCCATCAAAGGCTGCTAGGTGACTTGTGGCAGAGGCTTTCCCATTCCAAGAAAAAGCTAATGGAGGTGTTTCACATCATCCTGAACCAGATCTGCCTCCTTCCCATTCTAGAGAGCAGGTAAGCTCCTAGGAGCCTCTCCACATAGCAGGTGCTTCTCATCACTCCTCCACTCCTTTCTTCCTCTCTGCCAGACATAATGGGAAACTCCAAAAAAGCCTTTCTCCAACTGGCCAGAGACTGCAGGGGGGTAGGGTGAACACCCAAGGGACCTGCAGGTCATCTTACATTGCCTGAGCTCATCTTCCCTCATGTCCTGTCCTAGCGGTGACAACATTCAAGGCTTCATTGAAGAATTCCTTCAGATCTTCAGCTCCTTGCTGCAGGAAAAGAGGTGAATGGGGCTGAATGGGGACCAGCTATGGGACAGGCCCATGTCCCTCTCTCCAGTCCCATGAGGCCTTGCACAGTGCAGTCACTAATACATACTTACCTGGAACATAGGCTCTGGATCCTGTGGTTGGGTAGCAGACACAAGGTGAGCTGCCAGAGAATATTCCCGTGTTCCCAACCCCGACCCTCCTTTCTGTGCTCTGCCCCACAGATTCCTCCGGGACTATGACTCATTCTTCCCTGTAGCCGAAGACATCAGCCTGCTACAGCAGGCTTCATCAGCCTTGTATCCTACTATAGCTCACTGGGCCAAGGTCTGCCTAGGTCAGACATGGCATTCTGGGACCCAGGGGGGCAGAAGGTAACCCCCAAAACACTTACATCAAGAAGTCCACCAAGGCCCCAGTTCTCCTTTTCCTAGAAGTGACACCTGCTCTGATGTTGGGACAAGGGAGAGTCTGCTCTCTCTAGATGTGTTGTGAGTCTGGGTCTGAGTGCTCAAGTTGTATTCGAGAAACCTTGAACCCCGTTGTAGGAGATGAGAAGTGAATGGTCAATTAGCGAGTGTCACATGAGAAGTAGGACTACATCTCACATAGCAGAGCTCAGAGGACTAGGAAAGAGCCGGCCTTTGGGCCATTTCTGTTGCTGGGTCAGGTCCAGTCCTGCCTCAGGGACCCCCAGTGGGCCCTCAGCCTTTAAAGAATACCCTCAGCTTGGTGGACAGGAAGTCCTGAATATCCGAGCAGAAGAGTAGCTGTCAGACCATCTCGTCTGGGACACTGATGGTAATCCCCAGCCCTGTCTGCCCAGAGTTGCTCTGCCTAGCAGCAGGTGCTCGGGTTCAGTACGGCAGTATTCTGGCCTGCTCTTCCACATGACACCCACTGGACAGGCGAGCAAGCCCTTGGAAAAAGCATGGTGCATGGTCAGATACTGGACAGGGACTGAGACGTCATACTACCCAGAGCTGGGGAGATGGATCCTGAGCAAGAGAGTCCTTAACACTGCCTCATAGGGATGAGACCCGGACTGCCTACATCCTACAGGCTGTGGAAGGTGCATGGGAAGGGGTGGACAGACAGAAAATCAAGGACATTAAAGACCCATCAGGGCCCAAGGATCCTAATAATGAAGTCACCATGACAGCAAAGCCAGTTAGTGAAATGCCGTCACAGCTGGAGAACTCAGAGGAGGATGAGGAGGTGTGTATCTGGGAGTTCCTGCCCCGATCCCTGATTCCTTAGCCTTCCTGGCCACCCTTTGAGAGATAGGCAAGTGCCCAAGCTCCCTTCCTTGTTTTTACTTTAGAGAAGTGTCTTTTCGGATTGGTAGCCTCAAGCACTGGGGCTGCTTGTAATACCTGGGTACAGAAGAGAACACAGCCCTGAAGCCTTTGAACTTGCTCATGCTCTCTCTCTCTCTCTCTCTCTCTCTCTCTCTCTCTCTCTCTCTCTCTCTCTCTCTCTCTCTCTCTCTCTCTCTCTCTCTCTCATTTTGAAACAAGAATCTTGCTCTGTGGTCCAGGCTAGCCTTGAACTCACAGCAATCCTCCTGTTTTTACCTCCAACTGCTGGGATTACAGGCATGTACTACCATGCCCAGTCCTGTTTCCCTCTATAAAATGAAGAGGTAAAGCTTTTGCTGGTGGACTCCTTCCCCAGCCCTTCCCCTCACTGGGTAAGGTGGAACTCCTTTGGTGGCAGCTGAGCGGGTGCCTGACCCACCTCCCAGGAATCACAGGACTCCACTGAACAAGGTGGGAAGTCCTGGACCTAGTGCTTGCTCTCCTGGCTTTTTCAAGGTCAGCCAAGTCTGTATGGAAGGGCCACGGAGCCCAAGACTTCTCCCTGTGTGGTAGGAGACCACACGCTCTCGACAGGCTGCTCAGTGGTAACCTGACGTACTGCTTGCCAGTTGTGTGTGGCATAGCTCTTGTGCTGAGTGTAATTGCTCCTCTGGACATAGAGATAGGTGCAGTGCCTGCTTCTATGAGGTTGTTGGGGTTCCTGGGGCTGCTATGTGGAGCACGTTCATTCTAGTTGCTCCTCAATGCCCAGTTAGCAAATGCTACTGTTCTTCCTGTTAGATCCCTGATCCTTTCTTCCCTGTTCTGCAGCTTCTCTGAGCCATGGAAGTTTTTGTCATCATCATGATCATTTGTGATGTTCTAGTGCTGGGCCTGGACCCAGGGCCTTGCTGGTGCTAGGCAAGCATTCTACCACCAAGCTGTATCTCCAGCCCTTTATTGTTTTTATTACCCATCTCCTTAAAAGGCATTTTAAAATGAAGCCACATTGGGCAGTATGTGAAATGAAGTCTCCTTACTGAAAAGAATGTTACTTAAGGGAGCATTTCCACATGGCCTCACTGGTAGCTGCTATTGTCCTTCAAAGGCTGTCACCTTGGTAGAGTTGGGCAAGGACTTGGTCACTAACACATGACTGTCTGTGGAGACCCTCCTGCATACCAGGTGCTCTTCTTTATGGGTAATGTGCATCTCTTCATTGAACCATTTGAGATAACCCCATGAGATCAATGATATCTTGTCCATTTCATAAGGAGGGGACAGTTCAAAGAGGACGTACAGTGCTCCAAATCACACAGACAGGGGTAACTCACCTAGGAAAAAATAGGCCCCTCTTTTCACAAATGAAAAAAATAGGGGCTCAGATTTAAGTCACTTGGCGAAAGTCCTCCAACGAGGAGGGGCAAGGCCAGGGCCGATGACCAGTGCACTGCTGTTTGGAGACTGACCTGTTCACTTGGGCAGTCAGCCTTTCCTCCAGCACTCTGGCTTTCATTGCAGTGCGTGGGGGCAGCAGCTGCCCCGGGCCCAACCGTGTGTGGTGTGGAACTAGACTCACTTATCTCCCAAGTGAAAGACCTGCTGCCAGACCTCGGGGAGGGCTTTATCCTGGCCTGCCTGGAGCACTACAGCTATGACACAGAGCAGGTGATCAACAACATCCTGGAGGATCGGCTGGCCCCTGAACTCAGCCAGCTGGACCGCAGCCTAGAAAGGTGAGAGATGGATGGGAAGAGGTCCTCAAGGCAGGGGCCCCTTTCACTGCCTCTCACTCTCTTCCCCTAGACTAGAGGACACAATTTCCTACTTTGTCACAGCAGTGTTTCCAGCATTTGAACTAGTGCCCTCTTTAAAGAAGGCAAGCTGGGGGCCTGTAAGGTTCTCAGCATACAGCTGCCTGTCCCTGCAGGGCCTGATAGGAAGACTTACTAGAGACCAGCAGTGTGGCAAAGGGCACTGACACACCCCAGCTCCAGATCGGCCTCATTCTTGGCTTATTTCCAGTTTCTGAGCTAGGCCAGCCAAAGCTACTCTCTGTCCTGAACCACATGGTTTTGGCCACTGCTGTCCTGAGAGCCTCAGGAGCCAGCAAGAACAAGGACACAAGTGGATGCTGCTTCCATGAACAAAGGATGCTCGCCAAATGAATGGATGAAGTTCGCTTTGTGCCTTTAGACACGTTCCTCTGCCCTGTTTGTGTCCCATTTTACAGATGGCAGTGAGGAGACACAAGGAGGAGCTGAGGGTGTAGCTCAGTGGTAGAGCTTAGCTTGTGTGAGGTTATACATTACATTCCTAGTACCAAAAGCAAACGCAACTGCCCTCCACCACCCCACCACCACCCCCAAAAAAAGAGGTTGAGTGACCTATAACTCCCTGTCTCATAGGGCCATTGTGGGCATTTAAATGAGGGGCAGAGCTTTGAAGAAATAGAAAACTGGTATGCATGGCACACAGAGAATGAGGGTGAGGTGTGGTTGTGGGCTCTTGAAGGGGCCAGGTTAAGTAAAGCCTAATTAAAGACTCCCTATTAAAGGACTTATGTCCTAGGCATGGCTTTTGGAATGGAGTGAAGAGTATGATGCGGGGAACACAGTGGGACTTGGGACACGAGTAGATGTCAGCCAGTAGGGCTCTTTCAGTTGGTTTCTGTGCTGTGGCCCCCAGACAGGTGAAGCCAGACCCTACACCCCTGCTGACATCTCGTCACAACGTCTTCCAGAACGATGAGTTTGATGTGTTCAGCAGGGACTCAGTGGACCTGAGCAGAGTGCACAAGGGCAGGAGGTGAGTGTGGCAGAACCCGGGGCTCTGCAGCCAGTTCTGGTATGGAGAGAAAGCAAAGGCCTTTCTTGAGAGAACTAGCCCTGAGTTTTCCCCGTTTTCATTTATTTTTATTTTATGTTTGTCTCCATGTATGTGTGTGCACCATGTGCATGCCTGGTGGCCATAGAGGCGCCCAGAAAAGTGCAGGGACTGGAATTTCAGACAACTGTAAGCTGCCATGTGGATGCTGGGAATCAAACCTGGGTCCTCTGTAAGAGCAGACTGTGCTCTTAACTGCTAAGCCATCTCTCCAGCCCCTCAGGGGTCCCTCTGAAGCCTGGCCTTACGCACTGGCAGCCTACAAGATCAGGTTCTTTAACAATGTGCTTTAAGTCCAGCTTTGTGTGGGGTGACTGTTAGTGATCCACCTCCTTGTAGGTGGTAAAAGCCAGAGGGCCAGATCTGTCCCCTTGTTTCTTCTCTTATGTCTTTTGATGTGTGGACTGCTGGCTCTGGGGGTGTAGAGCTAGACAGCACTTCCTAGAAGCCATTTTTGACCTGATCTGTCTCCAGGCTGCGACAAAACAAGAAAATCAAGTTGCGTGAGTAAGTTTTTTCCAAAGATGAAAGAATTCTGTTTCAAGGTTCCTTGTAGTTTTAGTTTATCTTCTGCCTACTTTTTCAGCATTATAATCCATTTCATGACCTATCATTCAGTCAACAAACAATTGCCTGGTCCTTATTGTCCTGGATTACTTCAGGGCCGGAGCTGTAGTGGGAAGTAAGGCAGACACTGCCTACATCCATGTGAAATTTGCATTATTCAGCTCATCAAACAGTCACGATATGGGCAGCCTCCTGGGCCCTTGCTAGGGCCATCAGTCTAGACAGGAGGGCTCCCCTGAGAAAGTGACAGAGAGCTAAAGGATGTGTAGGGGTGGCTCTGCAGAGCAGGGAGGAACCTTCCCAAGCTGAGTGAGCAAAAGCAACAGTGGCTTCCAGGCCCGTGGGAGTGTGACCAAGGTCCCTTCAACTCGGGAGCTTTGTGTTATAAACGTCACCCAAGCTGGGCAATAGCTCACACCTCTAACTTACACACTTGGGAACCTGAGAGGACTTTCACGATTGCAGAGTGACTTCCAATCTAATCTAAGAGACCCTGTCTCACAGATAAGTAAAAAGAATCTGCTGGGCTCTTGAATGGCTTCCCCTGGAAGAAACTGAAATCAGTGGTGATGGCAGGGAGACTGACAGCCAGGGAAGGGATGGAGTGGGGAGAGTTAAGAATTCTGCTGCAGAGTTCTGTAATCACACTGATTCATAGAACCCAGAAACCCATGGGTTCAAGTGCTGTCTGTGCTGTCCCCATCATAATAGTGAGGACAAGAGGGTCTAGAAAGAGAGGAGACTGCCCATCCTGTGGCCTTGTTCTGGTAAGAGCCCCGAGCAGAAACATGTGTTGCTGCTTCAGTTAGAGCCCAGGGCTACTCCCCTCCCTGGGGCTGTGTGCTGCCAGAAGCTTGCTGGCTGAAGGCTCAGCAGGCACAGGGCAACTCCGAAGCCATCTGGCTCACTGCACAGGAAGCTCTGACACACTGCTTCATCAGTCACATTGTGACACCCCTGGATCCCAGGCAGAGCTGTTATTACTATTGGTGACTGCTGTGTGGTCCCCCAGGCCAGCAGAAGGCATGGGGAGCCCGACTGGTAGATCCCTCCACAGAGCTTAGACTCTCTGGACCCAGGTTTCCCCTTGCCGTTCATCTGTAGATTCACCTAGGTCACTCCTCATCCTCACCCAGTTGGAGGTAACCTTTGAGCATTTGCTAGTGGGCTGCTCTCAGCTGTCAGGGTCATCAGAAGGGCTGAAGCAGCCAGGTGTCCTGAAGGCTGTGTCCCAATTCTGTGACACTCTGGCTGCCAGCAGAGACTGGGTGAGCAGTGTTTACCAATCCTACTCTGCTGGGCAGCCCAGGGGCAAGGATTGTAAAGAGGTAAAGCCTTCATTCATGGTTCAGTATTTATCCACTCAGCAAATATTTATTAAGTCCTTTACTAGCACAAGATCCTGTGTGGGCACCAGGAAAACAAGGTGAGCAGGGTACTCTGGCTTTGCCCATAAAGGGCAGAGACCGTGGGAAAGACAGATCGTCAAATAAGCAAGTGCACGAGGAGTTTACCAGGGACACCTGCCTAGTCAGGGCAAGGTGGAAGGGCAAGGGCCCTGCCTTCAGGTAGCAGGTGGAGAATTAAGTAGCACAAAGCAAATCACACCTGTGTACATACGCATTGACTCTGAGGAACATGCTTGGCAGCTTTAGGAACAAGTAGGGTCTGGTCTGTTCCCTTACACACGAAGAGCTACAGGGGGCAGAGGTGGGGCTTGGTTACCCTGTGGTTTGTATTTGGTAACAAGCACAAGATGGGGCTTTTCTGTCTTCTGGGACCCTGGCTTAGGGGTCCCTAGAGGGCTAGAGGGGGCTTCAGCTATTTGAACTCTGGCTACTAGAAACAATAATGCCAGAGGGAGTCTAGACAGGTATTGCCTCTCTTTTATCTTTTGTTTATTTTTGTTTGTTGGTTTGTTTTGTTTTTTGATAATGCTAGGGACCAAACCCAGGGCCTTGCCCATGCCAGGCAAGTGCTCTACCATTGTGCACTACCCCAGCCCCATCTCTTTTTTAGAGAATTGCAAAGCGTGCTCAGAAACTTCCCTATTTTTCTCATATGTCATCAACAGCACTGGGCCAGATTTGGGGGCTCCTAACATGGAGAGCGATCTGAACCCGAGTCCAAGCTAGGCCTGGCTCACACAGTACCAGCACATGGGAGGTTTTAGAGCTTGAGGCCAACCTGGACTACACCAGGAGACCCTGTCAAAATAAGAAAAAAAAAAAAAGGTCTGTTAGGAGCGTATCCAGACTGGAGGGTAGCTTTGGTTGAACACCAAGCACCTGTGTACACAAAACGTGGTCCTCTGACTCCTTTGGATACTCTATAGAACCCTGGAAGATAACAAGAGCTCCCCTCAACAAAGGTCCTGTGGCCAGATATGTCTGTGTGTTTTGTCTGCCTCTTGGAGAATCACAGAGTACACTAGCATGTAAGACTGACAGAAGAAACGAGTCATTTTGTTGAGCCCAGCAGATGCTGGTCTGGGTCTGTATCTTTTCTGTCTTCTTTTTCCTTTGGTTTTGTTATTGTTGTTTGTTTTGTTTTCTGTTTGAGACAGAGTCTAGTGTAACTCCAGCTAGCCTTAGACTCACTAAGCAGCCAAAGCTGACCCTGAACTCATAGTCTTCCTGTCCCTACATCCCAAGCCCTGGGATTACAGCAGTGCACAGTGCACCACAGTGTATCATAGCATTCTCAGCTCATCCCTGAGAAGCGAATACTGTAAGCAGGAACTGGAGGGGGGCGGTTGTATTGCTTTGAGATAGGGTCTCACTGTGTTGCTCTAGCTGTCCTGGAACTCACTGTGTAAACCAGGCTGACCTGAAACTCACAAAAATCCTCTTGTCTCTGCCGCCTTACAGCTGGGTTAACCACCCCTTGTTTATTTTTTTAGTTACAGGTGGTTGTGAGCCCCCATGTGAGTGGTGGAAATTGAGCCTGAGATCTTTACAAGAGCAGCCAGTGCTCTAACCCACCGAACCACCTCTCCAGTCCCACTAGTGCTAGGTTAAAGGCAAGCACCCCCACACCATGCACGCCAGCCACTGTGATTCAGTGAGGCTAGCTAGAGACTTGCTGTGATCACACAGCTTAGGAAGTGCAGCGCTAACCAAGTCCTTTTTTCCTGAACCTTTTTACCAGCTCTGTGACTCTGGGCGGGTTTCTCTCTCTTTCTTTGTCCCAGAACTTTCACCTGGGATGTTTATTGACTCTGTAGGCCACTAGGGACCTGTTTGAATCGGTCTTTACAGAACAGGGTTGAGTGCCTGAGAAGAGGAAAGGTGACCAGCTTCAGGAGGGCAGGCATGTTCCTGGCCTTGCTGCCACTTTGTAGGAGGCCAAGACTCCAAAACACTCTGGGAAGCCTCTGTTGGCTGTTTCTAGAGGAGGCTGAAGGCCGGGCTTATGAATGCATCTTTCCCAGATGCTTGTGTGGGATCTTCCTTCTTCGTGGCTCCAGATCCATCAAGGAAGCAAAGTGCAGTGCCCTAGACAGGCTGCCCAGGCCCCTGGCTCTGCTGCCTGGCCTCTCCCAAGGCCCAAGTGGGGTCCATAAAGGGCAACTTCTCCATCTGGCCCTACAGAAAGCCACATAGCTGGACACTCTCCACCTTCACTGCCCAGAACCTGGGATGACAGGAACCAGGAGTCTCAGGGAGCTGCCAGACGATGATGACACCTCTCCCACTTCACGGGCCCCTGGCCCAGCACAGAACCTGGCATCCCGGAAAGCACAGCTGAGTGCGTGAATGAATGTGTTCTCACCAGCGGTACCAGCCACCTGGAGAGGCTTGGATCCCTTTCACTTTTCTCCCTCTTTACCAGCTTGGCAAAGAGAGCCAGGTGCAGCACCAAGGCCATGGTCACAGATCCACAGCCCAATCCTGGCAGCTGGGAAAGATTCCTGCATTGGTCTTTCTGTTTGTTTGTTTGTTTGTTTGTTTTAAGATAAGGGCTCCTGTAGCCTAAGCTGGCCTCCAGCTCACCGTGTAGCTGAGGCTGACCTTGAACTCCTCATCCTCCTGCTTCTTTCTCAAGTGCTGGGATCATATACTTTTGCTACCATGCTCAGCTTTGTTTTTTTTTTTTTTTTTAAGGTAGGGGTCTCTGTAGCCCAGGTTAGCCTTTAACTCTTGGCAGTCCTCCTACCCCAGCCTCTCAAATACTAGGAGTAGGACTATAGGCAGGCATGAGTCACTGCAGCGAGCTAAGATTCCTATTTGCCTAAGGTATCTCTCAAATCCAAATCAAATGCAACATCCTTTGTGTCCCACTGAGGGCTCCTGGTGCAATCAAATACCTTCCTGTTATGGGTTTCCTCCAGACCATGCTGGCACCCTCCGTCCTGTCTGGCGGGTGGTAGCCCACCTCATTCAGCATGTTCTGTGCCTTTCACCCCCAGCTCTCCTGTGAGTGCAGATACATGTCTGACCCATTTCTGAATCTCCTCCCTCCTCAGCCTTAGAGTATAGCCTGACATATAGGAAGCTCTTAATAAAGATTGTCCCATGGCAGCAAAGCTTTCCTGACCATACTAAGGCTGCAGTCCCAACCTATCCCAGGCTCCCAGACAACCCTGCAGACCCAGACGCCTGCCACCCACCCAGAGCCAGTCATTAGAAGATCTGCATAGAATCTGCATGGCTCTGTGTCTCGCTTTTTTTTTTTTTTCTTCTCAGACCCCTTCCTTTTGATACATTCCAGAGATCAGATCTCATCATTAAGCTAGATTTCTTGCCTGGCATCTCTAACTGATTTTCCCCTGCAGGGCCAAAAAACCCACATTCCATGAGTCTGTGTTTGTGGCTGCCAAGCCAAGATTCTCTACAAGTTTGCAAAGCCATGGTCAAAAGACCTGAGGCCCTGCTGACACTGTGATGCTGTTCAGTGTGAGCCAGGTGTGTCCCTTCCCCCTCCTGCTCCATCTGTCCTCACTTTGGACAACTGACATTGGCAGTTGTGCTCCCAGACTTTCCTCCTCCCATGGTGCTCTCACATGGAAGCTGGCGCTGCAAAACAGGCATGGGAGCTGCTGGAGGGGCCCCTCCCGCCTCCCCCAAGAGTGCCTGGGCCGTTCCTGAGCTTAGGACAAAAACTGCATGTGGCCTCAGCAGGGGCTGCAGTATCAAGAAGTGAACCCAGCGTCTCTCTGGACCTTTTGCCCAGATTGCCTCCGCAGTCTTCCAGACCTGATGGTGTCCTCCCTCTCTCCCTGCTGTCCCTGGCTCCAGGAAGGAGGAGAACGTGAGGAGCCTGGTGAACGACAAGCGGGCTGTGGTGGCACAGCGGCATCGCTGCCAGCAGTACAGCGTGGTAGTGGAGGAGGTAGGCTGCCCGGCCGGGCCTCTGCTGGGTGTGGGAAGTCCAGCACCCCAGTTCTCTGACCCGCGAGTCTACTGTTGCAGGTCCCACTGCGGCCAGGAGAATACCAGGTCGATGACTACGAGGACGAGTACGATGACACGTATGATGGCAACCAGGTGGGCGCCAATGACGCGGACTCTGACGATGAGCTCATCAGCCGCAGGTGAGGAAGCCGGGACCCACCCCCACCCTCTGCTGCTCCACCCAGCCCACACCAAATCATGAAGCTTTTTTTTTTTTTTTGTCTTAGCAAGTCATGTTTTTTCCTAAGTGCAGAACATTTTTCTCAGCAGAATTTTGTAGGGATTCCCCTGTGCAGATCAAAGCAGGGCTTCCCTGGTGAAGAAAAAGACTGGAGATCCCTTAGCTACCCCCTGCTCTCTCCACATCAGACCATGGGACCTTTAAAGAATCTGGAGACTAAAGCAAAGCCTGCTTGAAGACCCCTGTGGGGTTCCCTGGCCTCCTGAGCAGTGCCCCTCCCCAGCCTTCTCCAAGCCAGCCTTTGATCTCACTTTCTTTTCCAACCCTCAGGCCCTTCACCATCCCTCAGGTGCTGAGAACCAGAGCGCCTGGAGAAGGACTGGAGGAAGAAGATGATGAAGTGGAGGAGGTTGAAGAGGAGGCCCCCAAGGTACGTCCTGGGCAGGTGCCAGTAAAAGAGATGCAGCTCTGAAGGGCCAGTTAGAGGCCCTGTGCCTGACTTTCCTGCCTCTGACCTGCTGGTTTGGGGAAGGTTCTTTCAAGCACACGCTGTTGGAGAGCTGCTGGCTTTGATCTCACTCCACTGCCCAGGGGGCCCCCAGGGGACAGGTCTGGGAACAGCTGAGTCATTAAGAGTTAGGGTCTGGCCGGGCGGTGGTGGCGCACGCCTTTAATCCCAGCACTCGGGAGGCAGAGCCAGGCGGATCTCTGTGAGTTCGAGGCCAGCCTGGGCTACCAAGTGAGTTCCAGGAAAAGGCGCAAAGCTACACAGAGAAACCCTGTCTCGAAAAACCAAAAAAAAAAAAAAAAAAAAAAAAAAAAAAAAGAGAGTTAGGGTCTGGAAGAAGGAAGGGTAGCTGTAGGCTGTTGTGCCCAGGCTGACCTTCTTAAAATCAGAGAAGACTTGGAGCCCTGAGGCTCTGGAGGGTCAGCTAGACCTCATAAGTCTGAAAATTCAGTTTTAGCAGCTAAACTTTTCCTTCAGCTGAAATCTTAACTTGAAACTCAACATAGAAAACAGATGAAAGGTGATTTTGCTCCATTTGAGGATAGTAGCCAGGCATTCTGCAGTCCCAAGCAGCCCCCAACAGGGACAAAGGCAGATGTTCCTAGGGCTGGCTGTGTGGAGGGCCTGGCAGGAGTTAGCATTAAGTGATGGGAAGTAGCTGACCTGCCACAGGGCTCTCAGTCGCTTGGCTCCATCCCTCCTCTTCGCCTAACCAGGGGCAAGTCCAGATTTGCATTTGAAGTATACCATCTTCCCATGTCACTAATTCTACTCCTCCGGACTGTTTGAAGATACACTGTGTGTCAAAGCCCCCTTATTTCCTGAGGTCCCAGCTTTCCCCTCCGTAGGTCCACCACACACTGAGCACGGAAAGCTGTCCTCAAGAGCTCTTACACTGCCCTCTGCTGTGGCACCAGAGTGCAGGGGCCTGCCTTCGTCAGCTTTCATGGCCTTTTGTGTCCTTTCTGTTGGCCATCTTGGCCAAACCCATACACTCCCATTGATGTGCCTGCTGTGGTCCTTTCACCCCACCAGCCTGCCCCACGTCCCTTCAGCTCCCTCCTCCCTAAAGGAAGCTCCCGGTGGCGACCAGCCGGCTCAGTCCCGAAGATCGCCTACCCTGCTTGCTGTAGCAGTCCCCACGAAGGTGCATCAAGATTATTCCTTCCAGGAGGGCTCCACACAGCCTAGGGAAACGGAATGCAGATTTTCTCTTCTTTTCCTTCCACAGCTGGACCATTTCATCCAGGATCCTGCAGTACTGAGAGAAAAGGCTGAAGCCAGGCGCATGACCTTCCTCGCCAGGAAGGGGTGAGCATTGGAGGGGTTAATTCACCTGGAGGAGACCCATGGGGGAGCCCAGCTGGCCATGCAGAAAATCCTGGGGGCTTTTTGTTTTTTCTTCCAAGACAGAGTTTCTCTGTGTAGTCCTGGCTATCCTGGAACTCACTCTGTAGACCAGGTGGCCTCTGTAGACCAGGCTGGCCTCAAACTCAGAACTCTGAGTTTGACCCTGAGACATTAAATAACTTAGTAAAGGTCATACAGCATTAAATGTCAGTCACATAAAGATCGAAGCCAATCAAAGTGTGTGCCTATAGTCTTAGCTATTTGGGAGGCTGAAGCAGGAGAATCATTTAAAACCAGAATTTCAAAATCAATCTGGGCAACATAGCAAAACCCTGTCCCACATGAGAGCCTCACCTCACAAGGTGAGCCCAGCACTCAGGTGACAAAGGCAGAGGGTGTGATCATACAGAGAGCTGGTTTCCTGTGAACGCCCACCTTAGTGTGGCGTACTTCCAGCCAGCCTTCCTTACCTAATTATCCTGTCTGCCTTGTCTGGGCTTTTACCTCTTTATTTCTGCACATCATTCCTTCCTTCCTTCTTATTTTTCGTGTGTGGCTGCCCCCACCCCCCCCACCACCCCACCTCCCTCTTTTCTTTTCTCCTCCTGTTTATTCTCTCTGTCTGCCAGCCATACCTATCCTGTCTCCTGCCTAGCAGTTGGCAGTTCAGCCCTTTATTAGACCAATCAGGTGTTTTAGGCAGGCACAGTAACACAGCTTCACAGAGTTAAACAAATGCAACATAAAAAAATATAACACATCTTTACATTATTAAACAAATGTTCCACAGCATAAACAACTGTAACATATCTTCAACTAATATTCCACAACAAGAGGGCCTCTGGTTCCGAGGGTACATAGTGAGAGCCTGTCTCAGAAACAAGTAAATAAACAGGGTTGAGCCCAGATGGCTCAGCTTTGTGTTCCACACTCATAATCAGTGTAAATCTGTCACTCAGCATGGGGTTGTGTTCAAGGCTCGCTGGTATCAGCAGAATAAGCCCAGGCAGAAGACACATCCTTAGTGGTTTAGAGTCATGGTAAGGGACACAGATGCACTTGAACTAAGTAAGCCCTTAGGGTAGAAAGGGTGTGGAAGAGTTTTGTTTTGTTTTTCCAGACAGGGTTTCTCTGTGTAGCCTTGGCTGTCCTGGAACTTACTAGTCCAGACTAGCCTCAAACTCAGAGATCTGCCTGCCTCTGCCTCCCGGGTACTCAGGTTAAAGGCGTGCACCACTGCCCAGCTGTGGGGGAGTTTTATCAGGGTAAAAGTCAAGGAATTACAAGTCTGTCAGAGAGAGAGAGTCTTAGCAAGGATCCCTGAGGCAACTGTCACGTTCCTTCTTTTGCTAGTGAAGAAACTGGCCAAATGGGCCAAGAGCAGAAGCATAGGCCAGGGGTGGAAGTCTAGTCCCAACCTAGGCTCTGGGGGTAGGTGACCTCGCCAAGAGACATTGGATTTCTGAAGGCAATAGGGAGTCACAGGTTGTTGATCAGGAAGCAAAACTGTTGTGATTTTCTTCCATCCAACACCCTGAAGGAATGCTTTGAGTAGACTCCAGAGGTTGGTGGGCTGAAGGGACCAAGTTAGTGCCTGTTGTGAAAAAGTAGAGCATTGCCCCATGTGGCTGAGGGAAGGAGCCTGCCATCCAGCCCCCTAACAGTTCATGCTCACAGATAGGTGATGGGCCCATCTGCAGGGGCTAGGAGAAAATCAGACCCAGGGCTAGGGCTCCATTTCCCTTCCTATCCAGACCTGGGCCAGGGTGTGACTTCAGTGGTACTCCCCAGGGTGGACTGTGGAGGTCTTCCCATCAGAGCCTCTTCCAACTGATGTCCCTCATCATGGGGTGGGTGTTGCTCCTTCAGGTACCGGCCTGAGAATTCCGCAGCAGTGTCGGGCAGCCCCCGGGGCCATGGGCAAAGCCGAGAAACCACCCAGGAGCGCAGGAAGAAAGAAGCTAAGAAGGCAACCAGAGCCAACCACAGCCGTAGAACCATGGCTGACCGAAAGAGAAACAAAGGCATGATCCCATCCTGAGGCCACAAAGCTGCCTGGGTGAGGGAGTCCCCTCAAGGCCACCACCACACCTCACCTGCCAGCCAGCGGTGAGCGCCTTCTTGTTGAACACAAAGTGCCTTATCCCTTGGTGCAGGAACCCAGTGCCATCAAGCAGGCTGTCTCCCAGCTGTGCTGGCGGAAAAGGATGGGGCTGCAAAAGTAAGGTGTCCTTATCTTGTGCAACAAGACACCGTCTCACGGGAGTCCTGGATGGCAGGAGACCTGTGTATTCAGAAGCAGAAACAAGCCCGTGAATAAAGTTTCTGACCTTCCACGGTGTCCATGACAGGCTCCAGCCCTTTCCCTCCATCATTCCTCAGTGACACCGCCACCCGAAAGACAAGAAGGCACAGTGCTCCCCGTTCGTTCGTTCGTTCGTTCTGTCTGTTGACTCCGTGCGTGCCCTCAGCGCTCTTCCTTGCTGTGTGGCCTTTTCTCTGTGCCGGTGGAAGGAAGTCACCAGTGGGAGACCTAAGGTCCCTTCTACTGCTACCTCATGCACCTCCTCCCCAGGAGGTGGCGCTGTTTCCAGTTCACAGTACAGACTGGGGAAGTGAGCCGTGGAGGGCTGAGAGTGTGCTCCTAGGCTGCAGGCAGGCAGTGGCAGAGCAGGTCTTAGAAACTCAGTCTGATCCCTGGCTGTACAGGTTACAGATCCATGTAGATGATGTCAACCCCTATGTCACAGCTGGAACAAGGACACTTAGCCAGTTACAGAGCCTTGTAGTTATAAATATACTGTTAGCCCCCAACCCTCCCAAACTAGAGATTGGAAGCTACTAAAAAGAAGTGAAGGTATTCTTTCTGCCAAGCCCTGTTGAATCCAGTGGGACTTGGCTGATTTCCAGAGCCCTGTGCAGGTGTGGCCCATTCTGCAGTGGGCATCAACTAACAGGACCCCTGGGTTTTAACTGATGTGCAGGGGAGCTACAGTGAGGTCTTTGCTGGGCTGATCCTGACCCAGCAGATCCTGGAGTCTTATCTGCAGACCTTTGGATGCCAGGGACATTGATTTGATTGCAGTTAGGAGGAACGGGCAGACAGACACTTGATGAATTATTTTGTTAGGCCAGCCTGCACAAGTGAAAATCAATGGCAGTCCCTGTGCCTTGCTGGCCTAGGGGAGCATTTGAGATGCAGAGCGGGTATGGGATGGTGTCTTCCCCAAGGGATGCTGAATTAGCTGAGATCTGGCAGAGTTAGCCATTCTGACAGACAGCCGGAAAGGAGTTTCCTCCTGGAAGCACTTACCAGTGGCCCAGCTCAGTGGCAGGGTCATTTCTCCCTGACTGAGCTCAGACCGAGCTGCTGTCAACAAGGCAAACGGGCTTTGGGAGCTTTGCCTGCGGTTGCTCCCTGCAGCCGCCCAGAGCAGCGCCCAGGTGTCCTGGGAGCAGTCTGGCTGGAAGACTAGACCGGCACCACCTTTCTGTTTCCCAGCGTGGCAGGCCAGATCAAACATAGTCCCTAAGGAGCGACATGTTACTTGCACTTGTGCATCAGGACAGCCTTTCATGGCACTTTGAAACCAGTCTGGAGCATTCCTGTCACCCCTTCCCCTCGGCCTGAATGAGAGCATTGGACCAGATGGAACGGCACTGTTTGATATTGGTGAAGTCCCTAGAGATGGAGACTGAGACTGTCGCTCAGTGGTAGAACACTTACCTAACATGCACAAGGTTTTCCCCTGTACTACATACACATGAGAAGTCCCCAAGGGGAGAGATTCCGAGTTTAAGATTGGCAGCCCAAGAACGTTGGGTGGGTGTGGGTGGACCATTTGGTCCCTGTACCCACCCCCCATCCCCACTGATCTCCTATTCGGGTATTTTCTAAGTGCCTTTCCTGTGCCCTACAGCGAGTGTGACCATCATAGATGTTTCTGAAGAAACTTAAAACCTTGAAAGGACACAAGACTCAAGTGTCTTTAATAGTCTGTGAATGACTGCAAGAGCTTCTGTGCCCTGGGAGGCAAAGCCAGAGATGGATTATAGGAGACCTAAGAGCCTGTGGAAAGGGCCTGAGCAAGGAATCTGCACACAGTGACTTAGTCGTGGCTGCATGTCCTTGCCAGCTTGCTCCAGCTGCAGCCTGGAGGAGAAAACAGTTGGCATAAGTCTGCATGTCACTGCCCCTCCAGGAGCCCAGAGTCAATAATATGAGCAGAAAAACAAAATCAGAATCAATCAGAGTTAGACATGGTGGCACACACTTATTTCTTGGGAGGTAGAGGCAGAGTTCAAGGTTAGCCCAAACTACATGTGACTCTGTTCATAAATGGATAAAAACTAAATCTGAAGAACAGACTTTTAAAAGCAGACTCCATGAACATAGTGTCGAGCATTGTTTGTGAGAATGTTAAAACTCCTTTTGCACACTGACCAAATGTGGACGGGAATGCTGGGTGATGCTGGTGGCGGCCATGATTACTTCTATTGGGAATAAACACATTTCCTGAGCCTCACTCAGGCCAGAGTTTCTCCTCTGTCTTTTCCTGGAGTTGTCTTTTCCCTTGCTTAATCTTGCAATGTTGGGTCTGATGAGAAAATTGAGGTGTAGGGAGACCCAAGGTCGTCACGCAGCAAGGGACCCCGGTTAGGGTCAGCCCTAGGAGTGTCTCCTGAAACCTTTCTCTTAGCTTCAAGCCATATTGTTCCCTCTCAGGGAAGACAGGCAAATACTGAGAGCACCGGGTGCTTGGACACACTAGGCTGCTGGGACTCCTAAGTACATGGGATGCTGTCCCACAGAGCTGGGTTTCTTTTTTCTTTCTGTTTTCCACCTTCAAGAGGTTTGTCTAGTTTACTGTTCAGCCTACTGAATAATGCTTTGATTTTGTGGGTGTGTTTGGTTTTTCAGACAGGGTTTGTCTGTGTAGCCCTGGCTGTTCTGGAACTCACTCTGTAGATAGACCAGGCTAGTCTCAAACTCACAGAGATCCACCTGCCTCTGCCTCTCAAATGCTGGAGCTAAAGTCCTGCGCCACCACTGCCCAGCCATGTGTGTTTGTCTTTAAAGAAGGAACTATTTTAAAGCTTTGTTTTGTATTTTGTATTGTGTCTGTGTGTGTGTGTGCATGTATGAGTTTATATTACGTGTGTGCAGGTGCCCGCGCAGACCAGAGGAAGTTGGATCCCCTGGACTAGAGTTCAATGCAATTGCAAGCCCCCTGACATGGGTGCTGGCAGCTGGACCTGGGTCATCCACAAGAGCAGTGCACACCCCGACCTCTGAACTCTCTCTCTGGTCCTTATATGGTTTTGTGGGACAGGCTCTTGTTATGTAGCCCAGGCTGACCTCAGGCTCCAGTGTGGTGGAATTCTAGGCATGAGACCTCTCCTCAGGATAGAAGAGGGAAAGATGGTGGTGTCCTGACCAGAGCCTGAATGGCACTGACGCCCTGGAGAGTTCTGGCCAAGGCCAGCCTGTCCAGGGACCAGCCCCAAATAGCCAACATCCACATTTGCTGCCTGTCCTAAGGGTCAGCCGATTGGGAAGGCAGGAGTGGAGGACTCGGACCCCCATTTGGTGCTTGTGTTCCGAAGCCCTCCTGGGTATCAGCAGGTGTACATAAGGCCCCCCTCTGCCCTCCTGGAAGTCAGTGCAAAGGGCATGTGGACATGAAATGTTTCAGAAAAGCAGACAGACTGAAGAAGCCAAGGGTGCTTATGCATTGGGCAGAAGCAGACTGTGGTCACCAGAGACTGTGGAGCTCAGCCTGGCTTGGCTAATGGGGGGGTGGGGGGGACCAGTCAGTGGCTGCAGGAGAGCTGGCTCTGGGACTCAGCATTGCAGAAGAGGAAGAGGAAGCTCAAGGTAAACAAGGTAGGTTAACACAACCCCACCTTTAACTTTCTAGAAGGAGCTGGAGGTCCAGGGACCCATTGGGAAAAAAGCTGGGCTGGAAGCCATGCCAGGCTGCTAAGCCATCTCTGGCCTCTGCTCTGGATATGGAGCAACCAGGGAGGAGCCTGGCAGAGGCCAGAGGTGCCTGTTGCAACTCTGCAGCCCTAACCAAGGTTGATAAGTTGATTCTGAGGCTGGAGCAATGTATCTTCTAAAGGACCCTGGTTCAATCCCCAGCACCCAGATGGCAGGGCTCTGTAATTCCAGTCTTGAGGGATCAGAAGCCCTCTCCGGCCTTGGGGGTCACTGCCTACATGGGGTGCCCAGGCATACATGCAGGCAAAGCACACACACACACACACACACACACACACACACACACACACACACACACCAATAAAATTGAAAAGGTCAATGCTGATGACAGTACCATCTGCAACCCTATGTGTGAACAGGGTGTGAGTGAGGGATGAGTCCTGAAAACAACCATGAGATTTTGCCTTCATACCACACAGAAGAATCTCTACCACCAATTAATAAGAGGGTTTTACCCAAGTGTCAACAGGCCCTTAGCATTATCAGCTCATTAAACCCGTGTCTTCCCCTGCGCCCCTAACACATTGTCCTGAGGATTTGTGAGTTGCTGTGGGGCTCTCCCATACACAGTTTCTGTCAGTTTACTTGCTGTGGTCTAAATGACAAAGGTGACAGGCACTGAGTTCTAGTTTTCCAAAAATGACATTATGACACCAACTGTTTTTCCAGTTGCAAGACACCGCCCACCAATCTCTTAAGTGACATATCTAAGTGTTCTGCCATCCCAAGGAGGTAATTATGACTCACACCCCTCCCCAAAAAAAGTGGTGGAAGCGAAGCCACGAGAGTCTGTTGAAGGGTATCAAGGATTTATTAAGATATAAAATGGGTAGAAATGCACTCACAGATACAGAACAAAGTAAACAGCCGCCATGATCCTCCATTCCACCCAGGGGCGAATGGAACCAGCAGTACAATCTCCGACCACCACAAGAGACAGCAAGCACGTGCCCTCTCCTCAGTTTTAAGCAGTCACATACCCAGGGAAAACGACGCCTCTATGAAGCCAGATACCCCAAGGTCATTGGCAGAGTGAATTCCCACAACAAAGTGATTTTCACCCAAAAGACAAGCTGAACCCCGATTCCTGTAACCTCCAGCATGCTCTTCAAAGTGTTTGTGCACAGGCTCCAGGCCTGCCTCCCATCTCACATTCTCATCTCTGCTCAGCATTCTGTCACCCAGACTCTCAGGCCTGCTCATGCCTGTTCTTTTTATTGCTAATCCATCCATAAAGGAGGATGGGGGAGGGGGGGAGTCAACAGAGCACTGGCCCAAAGGCCAGCAGCCAGGAGGTGGGGAAGTGGCTCAGCTGGCTAAGAGTCTGCGGCCCAAGCATGAAGATCTGAGTTCTGATCCCCAGCATCCAAGTAGAAGCAGGTGCAATAGGCCAGGAATAGTGGCTCGAACCCTCAATCCCAGCACTTGAGAGGCAGAGGCTGGTGGATCTCTGTGAGTTCCAGGCCAGCCTGATCTACAGAGAGAGTTCAAGCAGCGACAGCATCAGCCACTGCAGCAGCTCAGTTCTTTGCTTAAGGATGCAAAGTGGCCACGGTAGAGTTCAAACAGATCAGACAGCCTCCAAAGTCCTCGTCCTCAAACCCCAGCTCTCCTGCTTCTCTCTAGTTTGGTACTTGAGCTGGGGGGCAGGGGGGAAAAAATGTATTCCATGTATGTTTGGCTTAACATGGACCAGGGAGGGTCATCACCTCCTTGATTCTTGATTCTAAACATGGTACTTCTGCTGATGCAACTTATAATTCAAGTTGTTCTGTTCTGTAAGGGGCAGAGGAAGGGAAAGATAGGAAGCTGGGCAGAATACATTTTTATAATTTCCACTTTACCACAGCCTCTATCAATGGCACGCGCGCCCGGGGTGGGGGGGGTGTTCCCTACAAGGGCCCAGTTGGAAAGGCTTCATTAGGCAATCAGACATTGCATGGAATTGCCGCCAGAGGCTGGTAGTGGCTCTCACTGCTGGAGGCCTGCACAAGAGAGACAGATCTGTGCAGACATCAAGGACAGGAAAGGGGAGAGGATTCAGTTCCACAGGGTAAGGTGTGGGGTGAGATAAAGGCTGCTCCAGGAGTGCACAAGGCTGTGGGTTTAAATAGTGTTGGAGATGCGGGATTGTCAGGGACACGGGGGGCCATCAAGAGAACATGATCAGACCTCCGAGGGAACAGCAAGCAAGGGACGCTTGGATGATTCAACTGCACAGTCATCCTCAAAATTCTCAACCTGCACCCAGTGGATCCAATATGCTAATTTATGCTGCTCCCTGAAGACCGAAGAAGAAGTCCCCATTTGAATTTTTTAAATCTGTTTAGATTTATTTTATATGTATAACTGTTTTGCCTGCATGTGTGTCTGTGCACCCCATGTATACCTGGTGCCCACAGAGGCCAAAAGAGGATGTTGGATCCCTTGGAACTGGAATTACAGGTGAGTCACCATGTGGATGCTGGGAATCAAACCTGAGTCCTCTGCAAGAGCAACACGTGCTTTTAACACCTGAGCCATCTCTCCAGCCTGTGCCTGTTAATCTCTTTGTTATTGAAGTTATAGCAAAATCAGCCTGGTGGGCCTGGGCTAAGCATATAGTAAACACTGTGACATAACTTCCTTACCACCACCACCACCACCACCACCACCACCACACCACCACCTCCTCACCACCACCACCACCACCACCACCACCACCTCCTCACCACCACCACCACCACCACCACCACACCACCACACCACCCTCCACCACCTCCTCACCACCACCACCACCACCACACCACCACACCACCACCACCACCACCACCACCACCACCACCACCACCACCACCACCACCACACCACCACCTCCTCACCACCACCACCACCACCACCACCACCACCACCACCACCACACCACCACCTCCTCACCACCACCACCACCACCACCACCTCCTCACCACCACCACCACCACCACACCACCACACCACCACCACCACCACCACCACCACCTCCTCACCACCACCACCACCACCACACCACCACACCACCCTCCACCACCCCACCACCACCACCACCACCACCACCACCACACCACCACACCACCACCACCACCACACCACCCTCCACCACCACACCACCACCACCACCACCACACCACCACACCACCCTCCCACCCCACCCCCGCACTGCAATCCTTGTCATCCATTTCCAGAGAGGAGACAGGCCTCAAAAGAGGAAGCAGCCTTCCAGGTATCCCAGGTGGAGACTGGAAAGGGCTAGGATGCTTTTCTTTTTGAACACTTTGTGTGGGGGTGAGGGGGTTGGGGGGGTGCGTGCGCATGTGAAGCTCAGAGGACACCTTTTAAGAGTTGGTCCTTTCTCCCTTACTGAGGTGGCGTGTCTCTTCTTGGTTCTGCCTTGAGGTGTTCTCCAGGCTAGCTGGCTACGAGCTCACTCTCCTCTCCACTTTCCATCTCACTGTAGGAGGGCTGATGTTACAGATGTGCCTCACTCACACTGGTTGTTTTGGTTTT